ACAGTTGGGGGAGGTTGAGTGGAGGCAGCCGTCTTGTCGTCCGCAGCGCCTGTAGTCCGGGGCCCTTGCCACTGGTAGCCCAGCGAGCCTGCTGCGCCAGTCGCCCGTGGGTCAGTTGCTCCTGCCGCTCGTCTTAGCCGCGGAGCCAGTTACTCCTGTAGTCCGGGGCCCTTGCCACCGGTAGCCACCGTGCGCGCCGCTCCTGTTGCCCGTGTGTCTGCGGCTTCACCCGTCGCCTCCTATCTCCACTCCTCTCACAGTCCCTCCTCTTCCTCACTTGCCCTCTGGGACTGCCTCTAGTTTTGCTTGTATTTGTGAACCTGCTCTATGACTGCTTGCTGTGCTGATTATACCCCACTTTGACTATGGGGGTGTGTCAGAATGTGATATTTGTCTAGCCTGCAATGGGGTACTCTATAGCGAGTATAGCCCAAATTAGGGTTTACTATATGTACTCAACTGCCTGCTCGTGCAAACCTCTATTTTCTGTTCTAAACTTTTGCCTACTGTTTTGACATGTAGGATGTAGTGGGGTAGCCCATATGGGGTACAACCTAGTTAGGGTTTGTACTTGTACCAAACTGTTTCATAGTTCATCCATTCCTGCTGCTAGATTCTGACAGTAGGGATAGTAGAGGAAGGAAATGTGAGCAATTATCTATGAACGGTAACGGACTCCCATTCGTGATGGTTACGTGTTTATTATCTGTACGTATTTGTGCTTTTTTGCGTGTGTGTCAGTGTGTGTGTGTGTGTCAGTGTGTATGTGTGTTTGTGTGCCTGTGTGTGACATATGTACACTCGTTTGTATCATTTGTGTCGGTCTCGTGGTGTGTGCTAAAGTGCCTCGTGTATGCAACTTAGGTTGTGATCGCCGGTGGGGCAATCGCCTTAGTGTGCCAGAACAACCTTTGTTGCATCATAGATGCATTTTAGCATTCTCCTCAAGATACTCACAATTGTTGTGGTGTCGTCATTGTTGTACTACAGTCACGTGCTCGTTCGAGTTGTGTGCTGTTAGTGTGTCGGGTTTACACTTGAGGTGGGGATCGTTGTTGGGGCAGCGTTGCTCGCCTTAGCATACCGGAACCATCTCTTTTGTAGCACCGATACATTTAGCACTCACTCTATGACATTCACGTATTCTCATTTTTGCACGACCAATTGTTCCATTCGCCGTATTTATCGACGATTATGGAATGATAGGTCACATTTGGTTTCACTTTTTTGGGAGACTCCTATGTATCAGTGCTGTCATCTTCACACGTCTGAAACACTCGCTGGGAGGGTAGAGGGGGGAAATGCTGCTAGATTCTGACAGTGGGGGTAGAGGGGGGAAATGTGAGCAATTATCTATGAACGGTAACGGACTCCCATTCGTGATGGTTACGTGTTTATTATCTGTACGTATTTGTGCTTTTTTGCGCGTGTGCCAGTGTATGTGTGTGTGTGTGTGTGTGTCAGTGTGTATGTGCGTTTGTGTGCCTGTGTGTGACATATGTACATTCGTTTGTATCATTTGTGTCGGTCTCGTGGTGTGTGCTAAAGTGCCTCGTGTATGCAACTTAGGTTGTGATCGCCGGTGGGGCAATCGCCTTAGTGTGCCAGAACAACCTTTGTTGCATCATAGATGCACTTTAGCATTCTCCTCAAGATACTCACAATTGTTGTGGTGTCGTCATTGTTGTACTACAGTCACGTGCTCGTTCGAGTTGTGTGCTGTTAGTGTGTCGGGTTTACACTTGAGGTGGGGATCGTTGTTGGGGCAGCGTTGCTCGCCTTAGCATACCGGAACCATCTCTTTTGTAGCACCGATTCATTTAGCACTCACTCTATGACATTCACGTATTCTCATTTTTGCACGACCAATTGTTCCATTCGCCGTATTTATCGACGATTATGGAATGATAGGTCACATTTGGTTTCACTTTTTTGGGAGACTCCTATGTATCAGTGCTGTCATCTTCACACGTCTGAAACACTCTGTCGAAATACTAGTCAGGAATGAGAATCAGGCAAGAAGGGTTTTCACTAACAAGCATAGGGATACATATAGCAAACCCTAGAAGGGCTGTACTCGCTATAGAGTACCCCACTGCAGGCTAGACAACCATCACATTCTGACACACCCCCATAGTCAAAGTGGGGTACAATCAACACAACAAGCAGGCAGAGCAGTAGGTTCACAAATACAAGCAAAGCTAGAGGCTATCACAGAGGGCAAGTGAGGAGGAGGAGAAACTGTGGGAGCAAGAAGATGGGAGGCAACGGCTGAAGCTGCAGACACACGCGCAACAGAAGCGCGCAGCACTGTCGCTACCAGGCGCAGAGCCCCGGACTACACGGCGACAGACACTCGGGCAACAGGAACGGCGCGCACAGTGGCTACCGGAGCACTCAACCTCCGGACTACAGGAGTAACTGGCTCCGCACTAAGCTGCAGGAGCAACGAATCCACGGGCGACTGGCGCAGCAGGCTCGCTGGGCTACCGGAGTACTCAACCCCCGGGCTACTGGCGCTGCAGACGTCACACCGGCTACCTCCTGTCAACCTCCCCCAACTGTCCCACACCCCTATCACACACCCCCTGTTGAACCACTAGCAACGCTCACACGCCACCCCCCTCCTGACGGCTCCAACACATCCACCCCCCTGAGCGGCAGCTGCAGCAGTGGGAGACGAAGGAGGAGGAGGAGCAGGGGATGGCGTATCACCCGTCACCCCCATACCCGCCACCCCCACACCCGCCACCCCCAAACCCTAACACAGGCAGCAGCGGGGGGGGGGGGGGGGGGGGGGGGGGGGGGGGATGGGGACGGTGCGTGGGCAGCAGCCAGGGGGAGGGCGCGCGGCTCCCCAGGGCACCTCGGCGGGGCAGCGGGGCAACCGCGCGCGGCTCCCCAGGGCGCCGCGACGAAGCAGCGGGGTCGCGCGCGGCTCCCCAGGGCGTCGCGACAGGGTAGCGGGGGCCGCGCGCGGCTCCTCAGAGCGTCGCACGAGATGGCGGGGGCTGCACGCGGCTCCCCAGAGCGTCGCGACGAGGCAGTGGGGGGCAGCGCGCGGCTCCGCGATGCGACGGGCGACGGGGGGGGGGGGGGGGGGGGGGGGGGGGGGGGGGGGGCTTCGACGGGGGAAAACCACCGCGCGCCTCGGGACGCACAGCGGGAAGAAAAATCCGTCGCGCACCACGGGGAGCGCGACACACAGAGTAGCAGCGGAAGCTAACGGGTGGGACCACCCACAGGATCGACCCAGGAGGGTCGACCTGCTCTGATAGCATGTTAAAATCACTAGGCAGAATCAAGAAACAGGAGAAGGGGCTTGAACTAGAAAGGAGGGGGGTACAAATAGCAAGCCCTAAAAGGGTTATACTCACTATTGAGTACCCCACTACAGACTAGACAAGCATTATATTCTGACATGTGTGTCATGTCAGAATGAGAGAAGTGTGTGAACTATGAGAAGATGGGAGTACAAGTATGAAACCCTAGAATTGTGTACCCCCTAAAGGCTAACCCACTGTAGCCTACACAGCAATAACACAAGTACATTGTTTGACACACCCCCATAGGCAAAGTGGGGGAGAGCAAGGGGTCACAAGACCAGTCAAGAAAGGCAAGCAAGCTCAGGGTGGATCACAACGTCACCACACACTCTGAGCACAAGCAAAGAGCCACAAGGCCAGTTCACATGCAGAGGCATATATGTAACACAAGCATCACAGTGATCTATATCTAGCAAGCATGCAGGTATATATATATATATATATATATATAGATCACAGTACACGCAAAGTCTACAGCAAGTGAGGAAAAGTGGGCACAAGCCCTAACAAAGTGCAGAAACGCTGATGATCACTAGGCGGGAGTGCCTTGGTGAATATATCAGCAGTGTTGGCCTGAGTGGCCACGTAACGCAGACGAAGCTGACCATGCTGCTGCAACTCTCGAGCCAGAAAGTACCGCAGAGCGATGTGCTTCGTTCTGTGCTCCAGTCTGTGCTCCTCACACAAGGCAATGGCAGCCTTGTTGTCAACGTACAGCACTGGAGGAGAACGAGGCTGCTCTCCCAGGTCGGTCAGCAGGTAGGTGAGCCAGCATAACTCCTGAGCAGCCGTGGCTGTGGCGTAGATCTCAGCCTCACAACTGGAGCTGAGAACTGAAGACGAACGTGTAGAACGCCAAGAAACTGAGCCAGAGCCAAGACTGAAGGTGTAACCCTATGACGACCGCTGAGTAGCCTGGTCGTCAACCCAAGAAGCGTCTGAGTGCCCAGTGAGAACAACTGGGCTCCCTCCTCCAAGCATGAGCCCCATGCCCGATGTACTGCACAAGTAGCGCAATACCCTCTTCGCAGCATCCCAGTGCACCTTTTGGTGCCTACCAGGAGCCACGTAGCGGGCCAGAAGGCCAAGAGGGTACGCTAGGTCAGGACGAGTGCAAGTCATCAGGTACATGAGGCAACCAACTAGCTCTGGGTAAGGACCACTCGGCTCTACGGACTCATCCGAAGGCAGAGCTGAGAGCGAGTGACCTATGGCCAGAGGAGTGGCCTGTGCTGAGGACCAGGTGAAGCCGAAGCGCTGAAGGACGTGCTGCACCATGTGTGACTGAGTCAGTGTGATGGTGCGGCGTGCTCTGTCCCGGGTGATCTGCAAGCCAAGGTAGCTGCGCAGTTCACCCAGGTCTGTGCACGTGTGTCTCTTCCGCAGTTCGGACTTCACGTGGGTGAGAGCCTCAGTGTCAGCACTGGCAAAGACCAAGTCGTCGACGTACACGAGGATGTAGAATGGCGGCAGCGAAGTGTCGGTGCGCAGAAACAGCGACGGGTCAGCAGTAGAAGGCGCGAACCCAAGAGCCGCAAGTGTAGTCCTCAGTGTGTCGTGCCACTCGCGTGGCGCCTGGCGGAGACCGTAGACGTAAGTGCCAGTGGACTTCCAGGATGCCATCTCTGCGTCCATGGCTGCCTGCCACTGAGAGGAGTAGGGACCCGCTATCGCCTAAGCGTAGGATCGCGGGGTAGGGATGTCTATAGCATCCGGGTCTCCCTCAGGGGCAAGCAGCATGGCCACGAGATGAGGCGCAGCGGCTGCAAGACACTCAAGGTCCTCCTGTCTGTCCTGAAGGACGTCCGTGCCAAGAGCACACTCACCCCCGACGGACGGAGGACAGACAGACTCAGACTCAGCAACAAGGCTAGCAGCGTAGTCTAGACGACAGGCAGCAGCAAAGTCAACAAGCTCAGCGACCAAGGCAGACGCAGCAGAAGACTCAAACGAGGGGTCAGTGACAACAGTGGCTAGCAGACGCGTGACAGTAGGGTGCTCAGCACGAAACCGGTCAGACTCAGGGTCCGGAACATGAGGCAAAGACGACGCAGGAGGGGACGGCAGAGGAACAGACTGTGGAACAGAGGAAGGACGACGGACGACAAGGTGCGCGCCGGGGACAGTCGGCGACCTCGAACGAGGGACACGACGAACGGTGCGACTAGAACGAACAGGCGAGACAGGACGTGACGCAGGCTCACGACGCTCAGTAAGACCCCCTGACTGCTCAGTGTAAGGAGAAGGAGCAGGAAGCGGTGAGTCAGGCAGGAGGGGAAGACCGGTAGAAGACGGAAGACTAAGAGCCTGGCGAAGGACAGAGGCAGGCGGCGGCAGAGACGACGGAGACGGCGGAGCGAATTACAGGCGCGAGTGGGTAGTGCCGCCATCACCAGTAGCTCCAGCACCAACAGCAGCTCCTGTACCTCCAGCAGCTCCACCACCCCCAGCGGCAGCTCCTCCAGGACTGTCTCCACCAGCAGTAGCGCCCCCAGATGCAGCACCCCCAATCGCAGTGTCCCTAGTGGGAGCACCCTCAGACACAGCACCACCAGCCCCAGCAGCTCGAGCACCAGCGGGACGAGCACCTCCGGGAGACAACGAACCAGCACCACTCACATCTCCAGCGACGTCACTGGAAGCACCGCCCGGAGCAGAGTCCCGAGCTACAGGAGCGCGACGCTAACGACGACCGTACCAGTCGCGCAGCTGCTGGGAGGTGAGAGGCACACGCGTACGAAGGCGGCTACTCCAAGGAGACCGCACAACAGCAGACTCAGAACCCGCAGCGCCAGCACCCGTAGCAGCTCCAGAACCTCTAGCACCAGCGGTAGCTCCAGCAGCTCCAGAACCTCCAGCTCCAGCGCCACCAGAGGCAGGACCTCCAGGCTCAGCACCCCCAGGCTCAGCACCCCCAGGCTCAGCACCCCCAGACCCAGCACCCCCAGGCTCAGCACCCCCAGGCTCAGCACCCCCACACTCAGCACCCCCAGACCCAGCACCCCCAGGCTCAGCACCCCCAGACTCAGCACCCCCAGGCGCAGCACCCCCAGGCGCAGCACCCCCAGGCTCAGTAACCCCAGGCTCAGCACCCCCAGTCACAGCACCCCTCGCAGGACCAGAGTCAACAGCTACCTCGACAGGCTCGACCGGGTCTACTTGGGAGAGAAACACCTGAGGGAGCAGGACCCTGGGGAGGAAGGGGGTCTACCGAAGGGGCACCTGGGGTGAGGAAGAGCGGCGAGGGGGGAAGCGGCGCAGTGCGGTAGGGGAACAAACGGTAAAAGGGTACCGACTCGTCAAAAGTGACGTCCTGAGAGGCAAAGACACGGCGCGAGGTGGGGTGGTAAAACTGCCAGCCAGGCGCGTCAGGGACAAAGCCAAGGAAGACGCAGGGAACGGCACGGGAGGAGAGCTTGTCCGCGGACGTATCGCGAACAAGGGCTCGACATCCCCAGACACGGAACACGGACGCATCGCCAACCTCCCCCGTACAACGCAGTATGGGCGAAGTCTCTGGAGCAGAGACACGGGGCCAAAGGTTGAGCTGATGCGCAGCGTACCGCACTGCAAACGGCCACAGGAAATGGGGGGCAGCCGCATGGATCAAGGAGGTACGAGCGACCTCCATGACTAAACCAATGCGGCGCTCAACAACCCCATTCTGCTGTGGGGAGTCCGGAAGAGTGAAAGTCTGGCGGATGCCGTGCTCCGCACAGTAGGCGGCCAGGAGGGCGGAGGAAAACTCACCACCCCTGTCAGAGTGCAGACGCAGGACGGGAAAGTCCGACTGGAACCGCTGGCGGAGCTGGAGACGAGCGGCGCGGATCCAAGGGATCAAAACATCAGGGACCTCACCCTTGGTGCGCAAGGGGAAGACCGTGGTGTAGCGCGTGTAGTCGTCGACGACCAGCAGGAAGTACCGCTCGTGGCCCTGTCCCCGGACGCGGGCCGGGCCCCACACGTCCAGGTGAAGAGTCTGCAGGGGAGCCTCTGTGGGAGGGAACGAGGAGGAGTGAGGGGTGGCGCGCTGCCGCCCCTCGACACAGGGAAGACAGGGAGGAGCAGGCGAGGGTGGGAGGGGAGGGAGAACTCTGGGAAGACCAGAGACAAGGTACCGGGAGTGCATGCCACGAAGGCGCTGCACGGAGGGGTGACCAAGGCGGTGGTGCCAGAGGACGGTCTGGTGTGACAGGGAGCGACACGAGCAGGGAGCCGACAGCTGACCTGACGCAGACGCAGACGCAGCTACCTGAGGGGACTCAGTGGTTAGTGTGTACAGGTCGGACCCCGGCTGCCGAGTGAAGGTAGCCAGGTGGCGACCCGTCCGAGCACACGTACAATGGGTCACCCGCTCATAGGCAGGGGTGAACTGGTGAACACCCCCGTCCTGGAGAGCAGAGCCCGCCACCAAGTTCGTAGAGAACGAGGGGAGGTAGAGACCCGACAGAGTGCCAGACGGGGCCGCAGGACAAGGGAGAACAGTGGAGGAGGTCGCAAGGACCGGGCCCCCAGAGGGGTCAGCAAGGGAGACAGCAACAGGCCGAGCTAGCGGCTCAAGGATAGTGCGGTCACGAAAGAAACAGCGGGAAGCACCTGAGTCCAGTGTGAAAGTGTGCAGTGCCGCAGTAGACCCAGTACCAGCAGACGCAGACGCACGAGCACCTAGCGCAGCAGCCTTACCAGAACCAATACCTGGGTCGGGCGGCACACTCAGGTAACAGTCACCCTCAGCACTAATAGTCAATGCATACATGGCAGCAAGGATAGCATCATAATCAAGAGCAAAGACATCAATCCCCTTCCTAAGCAGATCAGCCCAGCGAGGCAGCTCAGAGGCGTCAGGGAACTGCTCGCGCCAGGCGTCGTCGAGGCGAGAGAAGCAGCGCTGTGCCGGGTGGAACCTCCCACAAGTCTGGCCAGCGCGGTCACCTGTGCGAATGACGTACGTGCAGGTACCCCCACCCCCAGACCCCCCACGCTGAGAGTACCACTCACGAAGCTGCTGGGGCGAGGGAGTCTCGCCAGGACGCTGCTGCGGCTGCCTCTGGCCACCTCCGAACCCCCCACGCTGCACCGCTCCACCGCGCCCGCCACCCGCTCCACCGCCGCCACTACTGCCACCACCTCCCCCACCACCCCCACCACCGCCGCCGCCGCCACCACCCCCTGTGCCGCCACTGACCCCCCTACCACCCGCGCCACTCCCACTTCCGCCACCACCCCCGCCCCCCCACCCCCTCCACCACCGCCGCCCCCGCCTCCACCTCCACCACCCCTGCCCCCCTTGCTCCTGCCGCCCTTGCGCCTCCCACTAGGGGTAGACGCGGCCCCGACTCCCTCAGCTCCGAGGTAGTCGATAGCAGCAGCAGATGCAATAGAGGGGAGGAGGGGGGAAGGGGAACACCCCTCAAAGAAGGGGGTGCGGGGGTCACCACGAGAGGCACCTACAGCTACAATACTCTTCTCAGCTGCTAGGAGTTCCTTCTCGAGGAGGTCGACAGTGAGGTCAGTGGGGAAGAGGGCGAGAAACTGGTCCCTGACAGTGCGAAGGGAGTCAGGGAGGCGGGTGACAAGGTGGTACAGTGTGAGGTACATCGGGGGGGGGGGGGGGGGTCTTGGCGAGGAAATCGGGGGGGAGCGCGGCACGGTAGCGGAGGTCACTGGTACGGAGGTGGGTGATGAGGTCAGCTACAGTGGCAAAGGCGGACAGGTCGGGAAAGAGGTAGGGCAGTGAGAGACGGCCTATAGCAGCAGTGGCAGGGGAGGAGTAGCGCGCGACTACTGCGTCGTACAGCTCTTTAGCGGTCTTATGCTGGCCAAAGTGCTCGCGCTCATCTAACGGCAGGTGGCTGCGAACGGCTAGGCGAGCATGAGCGTCACGGGTCTGCCACTGTGAGCGCAAAGTGCTATCAGCATCAGCAGCAGGTGCGGGAGCGGCGCCGGACGTGTGGTCATAAAGGGAAATATCGTCCTTGGCGGTGATCTGAAGGTAGAGGTGAAGGTCATCGAGCCAAACATCGAACTTAATCGGACGGCCCTCAGCGTCAAAAGTAAGAACGGTAGGACTGGCCATAGTGGCAGTAGCAGCAGTAGGAACAGGAGCAGCAGTAGCAGTAGTAGCAGTATCAGTAACAGAAGCAGCAGGTGCTGCAGGTGAGGCACAGTAGGGCGGCGCGGCTCGGGCAGGACGGCGCGGCCCGGGCAGGACGGCGCGGCGCGGCTCAGTCAGGGAGGGTGGGCCGGCGCGCGGTCTGCGGTTGTGCGAGGCAGCGGCCTACACGCGGGCGGCTTACGGCGGGCGGCGGGCTAGCGCGGGCGGCGGCCTAAGCGCACGAGGCGGCGGCGCACGGCGGTCGACGAGCAGCTCGCGGGCTGCGCTAGAGGCCACACGAGGCCAGGGCGGGCTGCGCGTGGGCGGGGTCGACGACGCGGGCGCCTAGCGGGTCGCATGCACGAGAAAAGAGCCGAGCGCGAGCGGCTAGTGGGCTATGCGCTCGAAAAACGGGCCGCACGCGCGGGCGGCAAGCGGCTGCGCACAGGCAGCGTAAGAGGAAGGGGCACGCGAGGGCGCACTAGGAACGAGGCGCACGAGGGCGCAAGTAAGGGACGGCGCACGAGGGCGCTTCGAGCGGAACGGTGGGCCCTTAGGAACTAACGGTCGGTCCTAGGTTCCTAACCTAGGCTCGTAATACCATGTCAGAATGAGAGAAGTGTGTGAACTATGAGAAGATGGGAGTACAAGTATGAAACCCTAGAATTGTGTACCCCCTAAAGGCTAACCCACTGTAGCCTACACAGCAATAACACAAGTACATTGTTTGACATGTCAGTGTGTATGTGCGTTTGTGTGCCTGTGTGTAACATATGTACACTCGTTTGTATCATTTGTGTCGGTCTCGTGGTGTGTGCTAAAGTGCCTCGTGTATGCAACTTAGGTTGTGATCGCCGGTGGGGCAATCGCCTTAGTGTGCCAGAACAACCTTTGTTGCATCATAGATGCATTTTAGCATTCTCCTCAAGATACTCACAATTGTTGTGGTGTCGTCATTGTTGTACTACAGTCACGTGCTAGTTCGAGTTGTGTGCTGTTAGTGTGTCGGGTTTACACTTGAGGTGGGGATCGTTGTTGGGGCAGCGTTGCTCGCCTTAGCATACCGGAACCATCTCTTTTGTAGCACCGATACATTTAGCACTCACTCTAAGACATTCACGTATTCTCATTTTTGCACGACCAATTGTTCCATTCGCCGTATTTATCGACGATTATGGAATGATAGGTCACAATTGGTTTCACTTTTTTGGGAGACTCCTATGTATCAGTGTTGTCATCTTCACACGTCTGAAACACTCGTTCTCAAAACGTTAAAACGAGTGTTTTGGACGTTGAGAAAATGACAAAAGCTGCAACGTTCATTTGAGTCAACCTAAAAGTGCTAGCAAATGTATAAGGTTGCTACGCAACCAGGCCCTCAGATTGGTTTCAGGGCATGCTGATGGATCAGCGTGCCCTGCCCAAAGTCGTGACCAAATCAGCGTTGGGGGTTAAGTTTATGCTGATTTTGTCTGGGTAAAATTTCATGGCTAACTGAATCATCTGTGTATTGATTTAATTTGACCTCTGATACAGTACTACTAGCGTAGCTGTCTTGGGTTTCGCTCTATAACCGGAAAGGTCACGGGTCCAAGCCCCGCGTATGAGGGATTAGCCAGTGTGTGGCGGCGATTTTGGGCCTGAAGTCCCATGTACGCTTCCCATGTCCTGTACCCCTTACACATTTTGGTAAGTCCGAATCAGTGTGACTCTGTATACTATACTGATGCTTCAGTGTTACTGGTACACCTGAACACTAATTCGTCAGGGTAGTCCTATACTTATAACTGAAAAATCAGTGCAAACATAAAGAAGATACTGAAATTTCAGGGAAAACGAAAATCACAGCTACAAAATCAGCCTAATCAGCGTGTTTTACGCTGATATCTGAGGGCACGCAACCCAAAAAAAAAAAAAAAAAAAAAAAAAAAAAAAACGTTTTGTTGCTCAGGCCTTCAATTTTGTTGGTTCCATTTGTCATTGTAAACAACACTGTTTTCATACTTGAGTGCATTTCTAGTTCGTCTGTTAAAGGGGGATTTACTGTTCCTTTTGAAAAGTACTTTCCCAACCCATCCAAGTCACCCTTATCCTTATCTTCTCAGATTCTCTAGTGCCACGTGGCACTCTACTTTTCTTGCACTACAATTCTTGGTCCCACAATCCACTTTCCAACCTTGTTTCTTGCATGCTATATAAACCTTGCTTGTATTCCCTCATATCAACCAATTCTCATTCAACTCTTCTTCAATTACTCAGTAACTCCTTCGCCTATTTCGCTAGTAGTTCTTTCGCCAAAGTCTTCCGCCGCGCTTCATCCTCGACTTAGTCGACCCCGCTAATTCTTTAGCGGACTTAGGCCAGCGGGCCTAACACTTGGTATCAGAGCCTTCGCGGGGAGCGACTTCCAACGAGCGACCGTCGACGACGAGACTACGACGTCATCGTCCCGCGGTGCCGACTTGCAGACTTGGAGTCGTCGAGCGAACATGGACGAATCCATGAACGCTTTCCCCCACGACATGGGCAACACGCTTGCCGAGCTCATGCGTCAACTCGAAGAATTGACGTTCGAAAATCGTCAGGTACGAGCCGAAATGCAACAACTTCGCAATTTGGCTTCTAACCCCCATGGCCTTGCCGCACCAACTCCTGCACCCACCACGTCGACTGGCGCGGAAGCGCTGCCGGAACGTCGAAGCGCGCTCAAGCCGCAGAAGCCCGAGTCGTTCGACCCAAGTCAACGCGACGCGAACGTGCGGACGTGGCTCTTCATGCTCAACAATTACTTCGCCGCGAGCGGGGTGCAAGAGGCGGACGCGCAGCAGCGGATCGAGTACGCCGTAACGCTGCTGAGGGGCCCGACCTTGGAGTGGTGGCGCCAACTTACGCAGACTGCTGTACGGAGGGCTCAGTTAGACGGGCATCAACAGGGCGTGGGGCATGCAGCTGCAACTTCGAGCTTAGGGAGTTTAGCTTTGGGTGTTACCACGGTTCCGACGACATGGGAAGGATTTGAAGCGGCGCTGAAAAGTAGGTTCGATTTGGTGAACGCCTCCGAAGCTGCTAGGAAGCGTCTGCGTCATTTCCGACAGATAGGAAACGTCCAGGAGTACACACGACGGTTCTTGAGCATCTGCAACGAGATAGACGACATCACGGAAGCAGAGATGCGCGATCGCTACCTCGAAGGGTTGAAGCCGGACATAGCGGAGATTATTGCGATTCACGGGTTGTCCACCTTCGAGTCAGTAGTCGCAGCAGCAGAACGCGTCGACGCAGTACGAAGCCGACGGGGTCGTGACGATCGCGATAGGGGATACAACAGACCGATCAACGACGCTCGATCGAGGGACGGACCGTCGCCCATGGAGATTGGTGCAGTTAACAGTGACGGCTCACAGCGCAACGGATTTAGGGGGAACTGTCACTACTGCAAAAAGCCGGGACACATGAAGCGGGACTGCCCACAGTTCAAGGAGCGACAGCAGGGAAACGGAAACCGACGGAAACCGCCAGTAGATAGCGGGTCGCTAGCTGGTGTGGAGGTTCCCGTACCCGCCAGGTCTACCAACGTAGAGGAGACGGCCTCGCAGCAGTCATCTACGGAGAACGAGGTAGACACTGTTGATCGTCCAGTCGTGCTTCTAGGGAAGCTTCGCGGAGTTCCTGTTAAGATTCTCGTCGATAGCGGAGCTAGCCACTCGTTCGTTTCGTCTTCATTAGTTAGCCGTCTCCATCTTGAAGCAGATTCCTCAGTCAACTTCAAGGACGCACGTATGATAGATGGGACGCCTCTCCACATAGGACCAGTCATTCGCAAGTTGCGCGTAGTGCTAGGACCGATCACAGTTAGGCGTGACTTCGACTCTGCGACGCTGGACAGATACGACTTCATCTTCGGTAGAGATTGGTTGCGGACGGTTTCGACTCAGTTCGATTGGGCTCAGGGAAGCTGCAGCGTCAAGGTAGATGGCGAGTTCCGGGAGCTGCCACAGTGGAGCGATGGGGCCACATCATCCACAGCGATCATCAATGCTGTTCGTGTGCGACAGCTGGTGAAGCGAGCGGCACGGATCTTCGCGGTTTTCCTTGAGGAGGTGGAAGCTGAGGAGGGGAAAGGAGGGAGCGCAGCAGTTAGTGAGAAGGCGACTCTTCCTGCTGAGGTGAGTGCACTGTTAGCAGAGTTCGCAGACGTCTTCCCCGACGAGTTGCCCCCAGGGTTACCTCCTAGCCGAGCAGTCGACCATCGAATAGAGTTGGAGCCGGGGAGCAGGCCAGTAGCGAAGCCGCAGTGGAGGTTGAGTCCAGCAGAGACAGAGGAGATGACGCAGCAGGTTAGGCACTTTCTCGCACAGGGGTTCATACAGCCATCTAGATCGCCTTGGGCCGCACCGATCCTTTTCGCGCCTAAGAAAGACGGAGGGTTACGGATGTGCATAGATTACCGCGCACTGAACGCCGCCACCGTCAAGAATCGATTCCCGGTGCCGAGAGTAGAGGATCTTCTAGATGCAGTGCAGGGCGCTAGAGTCTTCTCCAAGATCGACCTTCGTTCGGGTTACCACCAGATTCGCGTAGTTCCAGAGGACCAGCACAAGACGGCGTTTCGTACGAAGCAGGGGTTGTACGAGTTTAGGGTTCTACCGTTCGGACTGACCAACGCCCCAGCGACGTTCCAGACGCTTATGAACACCGTCCTCTCCGAGTTCCTAGGTTCGTTCGTTGTCGTTTACCTAGACGACATACTCATCTTTTCCAAGTCGAAAGAGGAGCACGTGCAGCACTTGCAGAGGGTCTTTGAGGTCTTGCGGAGGGAGAAGCTGTACGCGAAGCAGTCGAAGTGCGAGTTCTTTCTCCCCGAGGTCGAGTTCCTAGGACACGTCGTATCCGCTAGTGGCGTTAGGACCGACCCGAAGAAGATCGCAGCGGTACAGGATTGGGTAGCACCGACCTCAGTCAAGGAGTTGCAGAGCTTTCTCGGATTCGCAAATTACTACCGCCGTTTCGTTCAGGGTTACGCTTCCATCGCTAGTCCACTCACCGACCTACTTCGGAAAGGCGTAGAGTACGTTTGGGGTCCAGCGCAGCAGCAGGCGTTCGAGCAGATGAAGCAGTCGCTCACGTCTTCACCGACACTGTCGTACCCTGATCCCACTCGCCCGTACGTTGTAGTGACCGACGCTTCAGATCAGGCCATAGGAGCAGTACTTCTTCAGGACCAGGGACGCGGGTTGCAGCCGATCGCGTACGAGTCGCGTAAGCTGAGGGGAGCGGAGTTGAACTATCCCATACACGACAAAGAGGCGCTCGCGATCATCCATGCGTATAAGGTATGGAGGTGCTACCTAGAGGGGGCAGACAGTGTTATACGCACGGACCACTGCTCGCTTCGCTTTCTCAAGTCGCAACCGCAGCTGAGTCGTCGCCAGGCTAGATGGATGGAGTTCATGGAGGGGAGCTTTCATTACAGGATAGAGTACAAGCCAGGCGTGCGCAACCCAGCAGATCCGCTCACTCGCCCTAGTTGTCAGCTCGCTAGCCTCACAGTCACTGCTGGCCATCCACTTCTCACAGCACTCTTCGAGCACGGTTACACTGTAGATCCCGACTTCACAGCACAGCCGCCCGCAGGAGCAGAGGTGCAGGGTAGTGTTTACATACGGAAGGGTACAGCACGGATTTGGGTTCCAGCCTACCGCCCTCTTCGACAGCTCCTTCTCTCAGAGGCGCACGACGTAGTTAGTGCAGGTCACTTTGGAGCAGATAAGACGGCTAAGACGCTTAGTCGCACGTACTACTGGCCAGGGCTTGCAGCAGACGTAGAGGATTACATTCGCTCGTGCGACACGTATCAGCGTACGAAGTCTTCCCGCCAGCGCAAAGCAGGACTTTTGCAGCCGATTCCACCGCCCGACCGCCCTTGGCAGGTAGTTACCATGGATTTCATCATGGCATTACCGCGCACAGTTAGGGGTCACGACGCCATCTTCGTTGTAGTCGACAAGTTTTCTCGAGCAGCGCACTTCATCCCCACGCACGGCCAGGTCACAGCAGAGGAAGCCGCGACGCTGTTTGTAGATAACATAGTTCGACTGCACGGGGTTCCAGATTCGATTATTTCTGACCGCGACCCTCGATTCACCTCAAAGTTCTGGAAGCAGCTTTTCGCACTGTTTGGGACTCGCTTAGCCATGTCGTCTGCGTACCATCCAGAGACAGACGGACAGACTGAGCGCGTGAACCAGACCTTGGAGCAGATCCTTCGCAGCATCACGATGCACGACGCAGCAGCATGGGACAAGAAGCTGAGCATGGCTGAGTTCGCCTACAACAACACGCACCACTCCGCCACAGGCATGTCACCGTTCTTTGCACTGTACGGTCAGCACCCCAATGTCCCCACTCGTGTCGATCTCACACCCACCGTCCCTCGTGCGGACAACTTCCACCAGCATCTCACTTTCATTCATGATCACGTGAGGAAGCACCTTGAGCTCGCAAATGCACGCATGGCACGCACCACCAACCGCAGTCGTCGTGAGGTGTCGTTTTCAGTCGGTGACCGTGTCCTTCTCGATAGCCGCAACCTCCGACTGCCACAGGACAGCAAGCTTCGTCCACGTTTCATTGGTCCATTTGTCATTGAGCGCGCACTTGGTCCAGTCGCATACCGCCTCCGCCTTCCCGCTCATTTCCGCATGCACCCATCATTCCACGTGTCTCTCCTTCGTTCCACCTTCTCGGGCCGTGATCGCACTCCACTGCCGGTAGCTGTTGACACCGACGAGCCCGACTACCAGATCCAGCGCATCCTCAGGCACCGTCGCCGTCTGCAGGGAGGTGTCTCTTTCATCGACTTCTTGGTTCGTTGGCGTGGTTACGATGCAGCCGACGACAGCTGGGTTCCTTCGTCCTCGCTGTCTCCCGACAACGCTTGTCTCCGAGCGTACCTTCTGCCTGCAGGCGCCGCGGACGTCGCCTCCTTGGGAGGGGGGTAGTGTTAAAGGGGGATTTACTGTTCCCTTTGAACAGTACTTTCCCAACCCATCCAAGTCACCCTTATCCTTATCTTCTCAGATTCTCTAGTGCCACGTGGCACTCTACTTTTCTTGCACTACAATTCTTGGTCCCACAATCCACTTTCCAACCTTGTTTCTTGCATGCTATATAAACCTTGCTTGTATTCCCTCATATCAACCAATTCTCATTCAACTCTTCTTCAATTACTCAGTAACTCCTTCGCCTATTTCGCTAGTAGTTCTTTCGCCAAAGTCTTCCGCCGCGCTTCATCCTCGACTTAGTCGACCCCGCTAATTCTTTAGCGGACTTAGGCCAGCGGGCCTAACATCGTCTGTGGATCCCCCACTGTCAGCACGATGCATAGGAATGTTTGTGGCCTCTTTTAGAGGACAGCCTATATAAGAATCTGCATTAGAGCTAGTCAAGTATTTTATGTGCACTCGATTCATACCTGAGCTTCGACTGACACCTTCTGCTCAACCTCACACGTGACGCATTCCCAATGGCTCGGCCGTCGCGGGAGAGCCGCCCAATCCCTGGAATCATAAAAGCAAGAGAAAAAGCGCGCGAACTCGAATTCGCATTCCCGCTGCGGTGGTAACCTGTGCAACGAATTGTTCTGTGAAGTTCGCCGACATTACTCAGAAGGGATTGGGACGATCAACTGACATCTCTAGGTTTGTTTGGAGATTCAGGTCAACAATCGATTCACTTGCAGTGGTTTTCCAAGACCCTTCACCCAGTCAGAATAACTAACAGTTGTTCGTAGTAATTACTGCACGGCTTCTAGGAGGTCATTGGACGCATCCGTCGCGTTTTAGGTGACACGAATCTAGTACGTTCTGAACGTTTTTCATGGCTTCTCACCTCGAGTACAGCCTGCCAGCTTAGACAAAGGTATTTGACAGTTGAGAAGCGAGGAACAATGGATTACCAAGTGCTTTTAGTCAGGCTGCCTGGCCATACGAGGCCTACCCGTAACATATCTAGGCTACTTAGGGTATCCGAGCAAGGAATCTCTATATCAACCCTAACTCCCGCGAATCCGACGATTCTAGACTTCACCTTCGAGCAGATCGGTAACCTCCGTTGCTCGGAATCGGACGGTCAGGAATTCTCGTTTGACGTAGCTGGAATCTCGCACACATATGCGTGTTCGACTCGAGAGCTTCTTCTCACATCTCTTCACAACCGACTCGACGAAGTCAATGGCATTGGTGAGTCATGTCGTTACGAGAGATCGTTCAAACTGGCAACATGTGTTTCGCTGGTACATGTATTGTCACCATTATTCTCTTCATCCACGTATTTCGAGTCATCGAATCTGATGTTTTCCCATTCTGAAATTGCCTTGTGATGTTTGTATTTCCATTCCGTGATTTTGATGCGATTTGATTTGATTGGATTTGATTTCAATATAGGAACCGACTTTCCCGTGCGGAAGGCCAGTAACCATCGCGGCGAGTATACCGAGGTCGTTCTGCGAGTCAGGAGCGCGTCGCTCGTCAAGATGGTCGCCGCTGGCGTTCGCCACGAACGACAAACGGTAAGTTAGTCGCGAACGATGGACGGTGAATTAGTTGCGATAAACGTTTCTTAGTTCCGAAAGACGGTTACTTAGTTCCGAACGACGACCGATGAGTCAGTCGCGAGCGACGGACGGTGAATGATTAGCGATGGACGATTAGTCAAGCACGAACAACAAAGAATTTTCAGGAACCAGACCTGAGCCAAACGCCACTGGAAATTTTCGCAATCATCTGCACACGAAGGCGGTGCAAAGAAGATCTCGCGCGTGTGTGAGACCCCTCAAGCACGTCTGGGAGTTACTTGGAGCGTCAATTGGCTCGTATTCGTCCGGCGAATTTGAGCTGGCCTTGCTACGAAAATCTATGCGCGAATATGTCTGATTGAGGTACTATTGCCGTGGACAGGACGTAACTTAGGGGCGATCTTGCTATTGAAGACGGTTGTGATAGCCCTTGTTTTCCCCCCCTTTTTCTTCCCCTCCCCCCTTCCCTACCTTCCCCCTCCCCCTCCCCGTCCCTCCCCTCTCCCCCCCCCCCTTTCTCGCTCCCTCCGTTAACCCCCTTCTGTCCATGTTTCGCCGCTGGTTGGCCCCAGGCGAGCAGCATGAAGAAGATCAACCTGGTGGACGTGATGAAGATTGCAGCGGGCGATCGATTGGTTGTTGTGCCGTTGACCTGTTTATAGCCTTGCTGTACCCCTCCCTGTGACGCTGTAATGTGACCCTCCCAGGGGAGCAGCATGAAGACGATCAACCTGGTGGACGTGATGAAGGTCGAGACGGCGGGCGAGCGAATGGTTGTTGTGCCGTTAATTGACTGTGGACGTATAGATAGTCTTTGTTTACCCCTCTCTGTGACACTGTAACATCACCCCAGGCGAGAAGCATGAAGAAGATCAACCTGGTGGACGTGATGAAGATCGAGACGGCGGGCAAGCGGGACGAGCAGAGCAGGTGCTGCTGCATTGCAAGCCAATATATGAGATGCGTAAACTGAGCCGTCTTTTCCCCTCCTCAGGCGAGCAGCATGAAGAAGATCAACCTGGTGGACGTGATGAAGATTGAGACGGCAGGCGAGCGGGACGAGCAGGTGCTGCTGCACACCAAGTCGCGCGTGTGGCAGCTGCTGGTTGATGGCGAGGCAGACCAGTTCGCGTCCACCGTGCAGCGCAACGCCAAGGTGAGGCGAAATGTGGCGAAGTGAGACGGAGGGAGGTGGGATGTTGAGGTGCAGCAGGAGAAGGTGCTGCTGCCTACAGAGTCGCGAATGGGAAAGGTGCTGGTGGATGGCAAGGCCGACCGGTTGACTGGGTTTAAATCAACCTTGGAGAAAAACGCCAGGTCGAGAGTGTAGCGAGGCGCAGCAGTCACGCTTGCATGCAGCTGTTTCACTTCCTTGCAGTGGCAGCACACATAAGTGTTTCACCAACTTGCTGGTTCTGTTGGGTTTACAACCATGTAGGGCTCGTGCAGAGTGCTGAAAAAGCACAAGGCATAACCACTCCCCCCTGCTATGTGTAACTTGTTCTGTGGGCTTTCGGGTCTGTTCCCTGCGTTCCTTGGTGTGGTGTGGTGTGGTGTGGTGTGGTGTGGTGTGGTGTGGCAGATGTACCTGCAAAAGCACATTCCAGTGCAGCGAGTTACAGGAGAGGAGATCCTTATAGTCACCAACGCAAGGGCTGAGTCGCTGGTACGCTGCCTGCCTGCTTCTCCTGTACCATCTATCCATAGCGAGTTCTCAGTGGTGAGGGACAACGACTCCCCAGTGGAATGCGTAGGGGAGAGAAAGCAGGCTCCTTGTGATGAAGTGTCCTGTCAGTCACCTCATTTGCGTGTCACTCGTTCCTCACCAGTGCCCGCTCTCCTCTCCCCGCACCCTCCCCCCGCCCCCCTCCCCCCCTGCAGCGCGCGTCCCCTGTGCTGTACGAGTTGTCAGTGGTGAAGAACAACGACCCTGCGAGTGGCATTCAGAGGGAGAGAAAGGATCCCCCTTATGGTGTCGTGTCAGTCGCCTCACTTGTGCGTTACTCGTTCCTCACCATCAACCCCTCCTTCCCACCAGCGCACATCCCCTGTGCTGTACGAGTTCTCAGTGGTGAAGAACATCGACCCTGCGAGCAGCAAGCAGAGGGGAGAGAAGGGGATGCCATTTGTGGAGTGCTGTGTCAGGCAGTTGCTCACCATCCCCCCCTCTGCACCCGTTTGATTCCCCCTGCAGCGCGCGTCTCCTGTGCTGTACGAGTTCTCAGTGGTGAAGAACAACGACCCTGCGAGCGGCAAGCAGAGGGGAGAGAAGGGGATGCCATTTGTGGAGTGCTGTGTCAGGCAGTTGCTCACCATCCCCCCCTCTGCACCCGTTTGATTCCCCCTGCAGCGTGCGTCCCCTGTGCTGTACGAGTTCTCAGTGATGAAGAACAACGACCCTGCGAGTGGCATGCAGAGGGAGAGGACGCTCGTGCTGACCAAGGAGTTCATGGCGGAGATGACTGGCAGCCATGTGATTGCGCTGCACAGGTGAGAGATGATAGCATTGTGAGAGGTGTGAGCACAAGGAGAGGTACTACTAACTGACAACTGACCAAGGAGTTCATGGCAGAAATGACTGGCAGCCACGTGATTGCGGTGCACAGGTGAGAGCGAGCGCACTTACTGTAAGGGGACTGTCCAGTGCGGGGGGGCATGTAGGCACCAACTGACCAAGGAGTTCGTGGCGGAGGTGACTGGCAGCCATGTGATTGCGCTGCACATGTGAGAGTGAGAGCACTGAGTATGATCTGGTGCATGAGATGAGTGTGAGCATGAGATGACGGGGTGTGGGCGGGCGTGACCAAGCTGACCAAGGAGTTCATGGCGGAGATAACTCACTTGCTGACGCATATGCTGACTCGCATGCTGGCTGCCATAGAGTCTGCGCAACTTCCTAGGATTTGTTGTGTCGGGCAAGAACGAACGAGAGTGAGGTGATGGTGGAGCTGAGCTGGTGGCGCCTGTCTTTGCGTCACTGCCTCTTCCCTGTATGTGTGCTCCTTCACCTGCTACTTGCGCCTCCCCTCTGCCCAACAGTCTGAGCGACATCCTAGGGCTGGTGGTATCGGACAAGAAGGAGAGCGAGGTGGTAGTGGAGCTGAGTGGGTGGCACCTCTCTCGGCCTGTCCAACCCAACGCCGTGCTTTTCCCCTCTCTCCTCATCTCTCCATTCATGTGTTCGTCCCCACCTACCTAACAGTCTGAGCGACATCCTAGGGCTGGTGGTATCGGACAAGAACGAGAGCGAGGTGATAGTGGAGCTGAGTGGGTGGCGGGCGACGCAGTACTTTGTGGCGGACAGGGAGGCGCTCGTGGGCAGCCTGGCGGAGGTCGCCAGCCACGCCAAGGCCCGCAACTTCTCCGTCCGCCTCGAGCCCTTCGCCCACCACACACTGCCCGAGAAGCCTTTGCCTCTTTACCAGGTGTGTGCTCCGTGCTCCGTGCTTCTTTTAGCTCCCCTCCCCCTCCCCTCCTCTCCTTTCTCCCCTTCTCCTACCTCATCACATGCTGCCAGAGAACCCTTATTGCCCTACCAGGTACAGAGATACATGGGTATTTGAATTTCTCCCCTCAGACGTGACAAAAATTAAAATCATCATTTGGGGTCAACCCAAGTCAGTGTCCCCCTCCAGCAGAGGAGCTAAATCAGGTCATTCCACCCCTCCTCCTTTCCCCTCCCCACCACATCAGAACGAGTACGAGATTTATCTGATAGCGCGCTTCATGACGGTGTTCCTGGCGCACCGGGAGAAGCCAAGCCAGCGTGCCCCGGAGTACTCACCACACCGCTCGCTCACTCCATATCACCACCATCCCCCCTCCTCCTCCCGCCACATCAGAACGAGTATGAGATCTACCTGATAGCGCGCTTCATGACGGTGTTCCTGGCGCACCGGGAGAATCTCTCAGAGCTGACGCAGGCGGACGTGGTGGCGCAGTGGCTGCCCATGGTGAAGGAGTACGCCTGCAACATGCACCCCGGCGACTCCCTCTGCATCGACGCGCGCCCCATGCTCGCTGTTGCTGAGATGCTCCGAGCCAGCCTGGGTGAGTCGTGCTTGCCCTGGTGTTTCCAGCTCTTTCTTTGGAGGGGGGCTGTTGTGGAGGTGGTGATGTGGCGCAGTGACAGCCCACACTCCAGGGTGAGGGGAGGAAGGATGCCTATAGAAATGTCAAACCCATGGGCGTGGCTGCTGCCTGCCAGTGGGTGGCTGCCCATGGCGAAGGAGTACGCCTGCAACATGCACCCCGGCGACTCCCTCTGCATCGACGCGCGCCCCATGCTCGCTGTCGCTGAGATGCTCCGGGCGAGGCTGAGTGAGTGAGCCAGTTTATGTGGCGTGTGGTGTGGTGCTCTCCACAGCTCTCTCGGTAAAAGTGTCAGGGGCCTGAGTGAGTGAAGCTGTGTGCTCCGGACCAGCCTGGGTGAGTGAGGTGTGTGTGCTCCGGACCAGCCTGGGTGAGTTCTGGGCTTTGAGATGTGTGATGCTCAGGAGCGAGTGTTACGTAATGGTTGGAACACACCAGTTTTTCTCCCCTACATCTCATTGTTTTGTCTCGGTTGTGTGTGCGCATGCATGTGCCTGTGCATGTGTCCATGTCGACATGTATATGTCCATGTATTTGTTGTACATGCATGCGGATGTACCATCATGGCAGACTTAAAGCCAGGCCTGGGAGCATCGTACGCGGTGACGTGCTGCTCAGTGGTGCAGCGCCTGCTGGGCACCCGAGGCGTGTTTGAATCCGTAAAGTCCAACCCCGACTTCATCAGCATCCTCATCAAGGTGCGTTGCGCTCTCGATACCAATCCATGGCCCATTAGACTGTGTGTTGGGCACATGAGGCGTGTTTGAATCGGTCAAGTCCAACCCCGACCTCATCAGCATCCTCATCAAGGTGTGCTATTGAAGCATGTCTGCACGCATGCGCCATGCACCATCACGTGGTGACGTGCTGCTCGGTCAGTGGTGCAGCGGCTGCTGGGCACACGAGGTGTGTTTGAGTCGGTCAAGGACAACCCAGACTTCATCAGCATTCTTATCAAGGTGCGCTCTCCATGCCAATGCATGGCCCAGCCCATTTGACTGCTGCTGGGCACGTGGGGTCACTTCATCAGCATCCTCATCAAGGCCGACCAGAAAGACGCTCTCTGCAGCTATGCACCATTCTGATCAAAATGTGTATACTGCTGTGCATGTATGTCTTCCCCACCGTCTGTGTCAAATACAGGCCTTGAAGCACCCATCGTCCGTGGTGGCGTTTGCAGCAGCCAACACCATCCGTGCAGCCATAAAGCACTACTCAGCCGACTCACCTGCCCCTGACTCCCCTGCTGCTGCCAGAGCCTCGTCCGCTTCCTCCTTCCTCATGCAAGCCTGGCCCGCCCATGCAGTGAGTGTTTGAAATGTGACTACTCCGCCTTTTTCAGTTTTGTGCAGTTTTGTGCAGTTTTTTTTTGTTTTTTTTTTTTTTTTTTTTTTTTTTTTTTTTTTTTTTTTTTTTTTTTTTTGAATAAGCTGGGCCATCACTGTGCAACGCATCCACTCTCCGCCCATCCATGACCCCTCATTCATGCCATGCTCCCATGGACATGCACAGCAGGAGGCCAATAGGGATGCCCTGGTTAGCTGATTGTCCCCATGTGCTGCTGCTTGTAACGATTTTTCAGGTGCCTCAAAAAGAGTTACAAGTGCCGGGTGGCTGCCTTCCTATGCTCTTCTGCATGTGCTGGGTGCCATCATGATTTAGGGTTTATCTCTTTCGTTTCCACTCATGTGTCTATCTCTTCCCCCCTGGTGACACAGGAGGCGGCCAACAAGCACGTGGTGCTGAGTGGCGACAACCTGCAGGTGCTGGTGGCACGGCTGCAGACAGATGCGCTCGTGCACCAGAATGCACTGCAGGTGTGTGTGTGTGTGTGTGTGTGTGTGTGTGTGTGTGTGTGTGTGTGTGTGCGTGCGTGCGTGCGTGCGTGCGTGTGTGTGTGCGTGTGTGTGCGTGTGCGTGTGCGTGTGCGTGTGTGTGCGTGCGTATGGGATACTGGATAATATGGTTTGCCCCCTGTCACCCCGTGTAACCCCCCATTTCTGCCAAATCTTGAGGCCTGTAAGAGAAAGCATAATTTCCCCTCCATCACAACCCCCCCCCCCCCCCCCTCCCTCCCCCCTTTTCGCTCAGGTGCAAGGCATTCTGGAGATCCTCACTCTGGCACTGAACCTGCCGCCATCATCTGATGCCGAGGCAGAGAAGCACTGGATGGAGGTGAGCCACTGGTGCTGCTGCTGCTGCTGCTGCTTCTGCTGGCGAGGCATGCTGCTGTTGCTGGCGAGGCATGCTGCTGTTGCTGCTGGTAGCTTTCAAAAGTTGGCTGGATAGATTCATGGAGGGTGGTGGAAGGTAGAGGGAGGTCAGCAGTGGCTTTGGTGCCTCCAGCATTGAATTCTGCAAGGAGCATCCACCATCGGATGTGCATTTATTACCTCATTCTGGCTGCCAATTCACTTGCCCACATCTCACCTTCTGCCATCTCACCTGCCCACGTTTCATGTGCCCTCATCTCACCTGACCAAATTATGCCTGCTGGAATTCCACCTGTGCATGCTTCACCTGCTTCCCACCATCACCTCTCAGACCCTAGAGAGCTCTCTACTCGTGGCTGCTGACGTCATCAGTGCTATTTCCCGAAGCCGCAGCAATATTATGTACTGCAGGTAACGTGCGTTTGTTGGGGTTCTTGCGGGGAGGGGGGGGAGAGAGGAAGGGGGGGTCGGGAGGGGAGGGAAGGGGGGTGTGTGTTGGTGGTTGGGGAGGTGGGGGAATTGGGCGGGTGTGTGGATGGGTGTGGGGATGGGTGTGGTGCGTGCACATGCCTTTGCTTGTGTGTGCACGTGTGTCTGTGTTCTTGTGTGTTTGTATGTATGCTGTGTATGCTGTCTTCTGAGTGTACCATGTCTGCTGATTCAGCCATACGTCTCCCTCTCCCTATCCCTCCCTATCCCCCTCTCCCCCTACCCCACCCGCAATTCCTCCCCTCTTCTCTCCAGCAACCTCAGTTTCGTCCATTTCCCCTGCCTCTTTCTTCCGCTCCTTCTTCATGTTTGCCATATTCGCGTCAATTCCCGTCAATTCCCATTAATTCCTCCCAATTCCCGTCAATTCTCCTCTATTCCCGTCAATTCCTCTCAATTTCCGTCAATTCTCCTCTATTCCCGTCAATTCCTCTCAATTCCCGTCAACTTCTCTCAATTTACGTCAATTCACCTGAATTCAGCTGAATTTTCCTCAATTTTCGTCAATTCCATCAATTCCCGTCAATCTCTCTCAAAACCTGTCAGTTCCTATAAAATCCTCAATTCCCCTCAATTCCTTCAAATCCTCTCCTCCCCTTGTCAGCAACGCGCTGCTGATCAAGACAATCTTCACGCGCTGCTCTCCTGTATTCATCACTCGCTTTAGGGTAGGTTAGGGTACCATGCTGTGCCGCCAGTGGTCATGTAAGTGTCGCACGTGTGTGTTATATGTCATGTCATGCATCATTCGTCATGTGCCATGCGTCATGTGTCATGTACCTTTTGAGGCGCCTCAAAACCAGTAAAGCTCATTTAACCATGCAACCATTTTCTATCCATCACTTCTCCCTCTATTCCTACCACTCTCCCTCTCTTCCATCCAGGCTGTGATTTTATCCCACGCGATGGTGTTGTTGCTGCTCAAGATCGCACTGTCCAACAAGATGGAGAGGGCGATGAATGACAAGGGCACAATCAAATTAATTCAGCCTCTTTCTCAACATGTTTTTACCACACTCCCTCCATGCCATTCCCCACAGGCTGTGATTCTATCCCGTGCAGTGGTGCTGCTGCTGCTGAAGAACGCGCTGTTCAACAAGCTGGAGAGGGCGAGGGACATCAGTGCAGAGCTGCTGTTCCTCATTGCTGAGAGCGACGCCAAAACACAGCAGCTGCTGGCAAATCTGCTGCCCAAGGTGCGCCAATGCACCGTGTGCCAATGCCTTTGCTGAATGCCAGTTAGTGCATAGCCGATGCTATCTCCCAGCAGCACTGAAAGCAACGCTGAAACGTAGCTCCTGCTGGCGGATTTGCGCCTGTTCGCTGATGCGTGACTGCTCTCTGTGCCACTCTTTTGATTTCTCCCATCCATCCATCTCCTCCTTATTTTCAACTAGTTTTTGCTATCACCTCTTTTTTCTCTGTCACTTCTTTTACTCCATCACCATTCATGACATAAACTGCTGCAGGGTTTCTTCTTTGTGCTCAAGGACAAGACAGAAGCGGCAAGAAAGGCCGAGATCGAGGTAAGGCAGACGACTGGGGAGAACTGCAATTGGAGTGGAACATGTGTCCAGCCTCAAAGTTCAAGTATTTTTTGAGAGTTCCAAAAAGGCAAACTATAGCAGACAGTGTAGGGGAAAATGAACATTTTATGGTATATTTTAGCTTTATGTGAACGCTTTTGATGGAAGTCGCCATCTCCAACCCAACAGGAGGCAGCCAAGGCAGCAGCAGCAGGTGGTGCGAGCTCCACCTGATCTTATAAACTTCCATGTTGTATTGCATGTTACATCCAATGAAGGACCATTCGGTACTGCCAGCTCAATCCTAGTGTCAAATGTTTGGGATTGCCATTTTGCCCCAACCCAACAGGAGGCAGCCAAAGCCGCAGCAGCAGGCGGTGCAAGCGCCACCCTAGCATCCGGGCTCAAAGTCGCAGCAGCAGCAGCAGCGGCAGCAGCAGCAGCCGCAGCCAGCACAAACACAGGCTCAACCCCTGGCAGTGGGGCTGCTGGGGGGGAAGGCAGTGGGGGAGCGGTGGGGATGGGGGTTGGGAGTGGGGGATTGGGGAGTGTGGTGGCGCTGGGGGTGTGGAAGGAGGCGCTGGAGATGCTGAGGAGGAGGAGCATCACGACGCCTGTGCTGGTGTGGAACGATGCTAAGAGACACGAGCTGCACACGGTGAGTGGGGAGGGCTGACTGCTGAATGTACCATGCATGGGCCATGCGTTCGAGATGCTGAGGAGGAGGAACATCACGACGCCGGTCCTGGTGTGGAACGATGGTAAGAGACACAAGCTTCATTCGGACTGGGCTGAAACTTGGATTGGTGGGCTGACTGTTGAATGTGGGCTGATTTGGAATGCATGGGCGGTGGGCGCTGCATCCATGCCGAGGAGGAGGAGCATCACGACGCCAAGTGCTGGTGTGGAACGATGCCAAGAGGCACGAGCTGCACGCGGTGAGTGAGGAGGTTTTCAAGTGGTGGGCTGTTGAAAGTGTTGCAGGGATGACTGTTGCTGTGTTTGCCCTGGCAGTACCTCGCCCTCAAACAGCAGGTGAAGGCGTGCGTTTGATGCAGCCCGGAGGTGGATGGGATGGGAAGGAGCAGGCCGATGCACTTGTGGTAATGGGAACAAGTTTTGAGAATTCTCAGAATTCCACCTTGAGAACCCACATGTCACGCACATGTGACATGTCACCCACATGTCATCTCAGTCACACGTTATCTCACACACTCCTGTGTGCATGTTCGCCCTGGCAGTACCACAAGGAGCAAGTGGAGGCGTTTGAGGCGGCCGTGGGGAGAAACGGGAGGCATAGGCACTAGTGGTACTGGCAGCAGGGAACTCGATCTGTCCGTCTGTAGCACACATGGATCATATCACCTCACATACTACCTCATACCGTGTTCGCTCTGGCAGTACCTCAAAGATCAGGTGGAGGCGTTCGATGCGGCCCTGGGGCGGCTGGGAGGCACTGGCAGCACGGAAATCCATATGTCTCTATCACACACATCGCACACACATATCACCACACACACATATCACCACACACACTTATCACCACACACACATATCACCACACACACATATCACCACACACACATATCACCACACACACATATCACCACACACACATATCACCACACACACATATCACCACACACACATTTCACCACACACACATATCACCACACGCACATATCACCACACACACATATCACCACACACACATATCACCACACACACATTTCACCACACACACATTTCACCACACGCACATATCACCACACACACATATCACCACACACACATTTCACCACACACACATTTCACCACACACACATTTCACCACACACACATTTCACCACACACACGTATCACCTGTGCGTTTCTGCCCTGGCAGTACCTCAAGGAGCAAGTGGAGTGGAGGCGTTCGATGCAGCCCTGGGGGGATGGGAGGGACTGGGAGCACGGAACTCTATCTGCCTCTATCACACGCATTGCACTCACATATTACATCACACACATCTGTACCTGTTCGCCCTGGCAGTACCTCAAGGAGCAAGTGGAGGCGTTTGATGCGGCCCTGGGGCGGACGGGAGGCGGCAAGGATATTCACTTTAACACGGATGACTGCGAGTGCTGCTACTCCCCTGCCAGTAACGATAATGGTGAGTGGGTGCATGGTGGGTGGGATGGTGGGACCAGGAACTATAGGCGGACTAGAGACGTGGCAAGGGCATTCACGTTCGCTACAACACGGACAACTGTGAGTGCTGCTACTCCCCTGCCAGCAATGATAATGGTGAGTGAGTGAGTGGGTGGGTGAGTGGTGGGATGACAGCAAGTGGCGTGGCAGGGCAGGGACCCTAGAGACAAGCGAGATGAGGCAAGGACATTCACTTCAGCACTGACAACTGCGAGTGCTGCTACTCCCCTGCCAGCAATGATAATGATGAGTGAGTGAGTGAGGGATGGGATGATAGGGCAGGGAATCAGGTGCAAATGAGAGATGTGGCAAGGGCATTTGCTGCAAGCGGGCTGCGTCTCTGCTTCACGCCGCTCTACGGCACGTGTCAGTTACCTATCTCTGAACCTACCACCTCCCCATTCCCCTTGCCCCTCTCCCTTGTGTACACCTTCCCCATATCTCCCCCCCCGTCCCCCCTAACCCCCCTCCCCGGTTCCCCAGACGTGTGCAAGACTATCGTGGAAGGGGTGCGTCTAGAGGTGCTGCTACAACCTTCCGACGACTCCTCCCCTGCGCTAGCGGCCCACTGGAAGCTATACAACCCTCTCATCCTAACCTCCTCTTTCTCGTTTCCTTTTCCACCTCCCCCTCTCCCTCTTATTCTCCAGACGTGTGCAAGACCATAGTGGAGGGGGTTCACCTGGAGGTCCTCCTACAGCCCTCAGACGACTCCTCCCCTGCACTAGCGGCGCACTGGAAGCTGGACGACCCAGCTGCGCTCTTCACGGCCACGCTGCAGGCGCTGCTGCTGTGCTTCACACCGCTCTACGGCACGTGCGAGCTGCCCGAGATCGAGCCGCGGCTGGCGGTGGACGCCCTCACATGGATTTACGAGCGGCACGAGGGGGAGATTCGTGGCGTGGTGGAGAATCTGCATGTCGTGGAGGTGAGTGGCGCGCTGGGAAGGGTGGGTGGAGAGGGGGTGGCTGGAAGGGTGGGTGGAGAGGGGGTGGCTGGAAGGAGGAGAGCAAGGGGGTCTGTCTAGCTGGCTGTAGATGCGCTGACGTGGATGTACGAGCGGCATGAGGGGGAGTTCCGAGGAGTGGTGGAGAACTTGCACGTGGTGGAGGTGAGTGGAAGTAGAGGGGAGGGGAGGTGTTGAGTTCAGAAGTGGTAGGGAAGGAAGCGAGGGCACAAGGGGGAGAGCCGCCTGCGGCTGGCTGTGGACACACTCACGTGGGTGTATGAGCGGTATGAGGGGGAGATCCGAGGCGTGTACTGCCCACGTGGTGTGTACTGCCCACGTGGTGTGTACTGCCCACGTGGTGTGTACTGCCCACGTGGTGTGTGTCTTGGTGTGTTTTTTCCTCAGCACCAGAACCGCCACCTCTTTGTGGCAATGCTAAGGAAGGTCATTGACAACGACCGTGTGGTGTTTGCTTACTAGGTGCTGCTGCTGTTGCTGCTGCTCGTCCTCACCACGTTTCCTTCCCTTCCCTTCTCTCTCCTCCTTTCCATTAACTCTTTGTGGCAATGCTGCGGGAGGCAATAAACAACAACCATGTGGTGTTCGCCTTCAAGTCGCTGCTGCTGCCGCTGCTTATGACACCCTTTTCCTTGTACAATCTCTTCTCCCTCTTCCATTGCAACAGCTCTTTGTGGCGATGCTGCGGGAAGCGATAGACAATGACCATGTGGTGTTCGCCTTCAAATCGCTGCTGCTGCTGCGCATCATTCTCGAGAGGGCTGGTCGCCCTGCTGTCTCACGTTTTGTGAAGGCGGGAGGCATGTCCATCATCCTGCCCCTCATGGTCAACTCGCTTGCTAAGGTGGGTGGGTGGTTTGGCTGGTGTCTGGGAGCAGAGGGGAGGGAGATGGGGCGAGGAGGATGGATGAGATCATGGGAGCACTGGATGTGTGTTGGTTCGTGACGGCGGGAGGCATGTCCATCATCCTGCCACTCATGGTCAGCTCGCATGCTAAGGTGGATGGGTGGACTGGCGTGTACGTGCAGGAGGGGATGGGGAATGGGTGGGAGTGGGACAGGGCCAGGTATGCCATCTCTTGGTTTGTGAAGGGACATGCCCTCTGTTTCCCCCTCTCCATCCCCACCCACCCCAGTGCTGCAAGGACGAGGCTCTGTTCTAATATGATGCACCGCGTGTGAAGGACCGAGGGGCGATCGATGGAGGCGGTGCCTGTGGTGGGGGCAGACGGCAGTTGTTTTGAAGGCCATTTCATCCCATCCCCTTCCCACCCTCCTTTTCCCACGGTTGCTTGCTTTCACTGCCATTCCAGTGCTGCAAGGATGAGACTCTCTTCGAGTGCGATGCACCAAGTGTGAAGGACCGGGGGGCGATTGAGGTGGTGCCAGTGGTGGGTGCGGACGGCGAGGTGCGGATGGCGCGCGTGCCGTCCGGGCGGCAAGCAAAGGAGGGCGGCGCAAGCACTGTTCATCATGGGGGGAGCGTAGAGGCGAGGGATGCGATCAAGTGGCAGGATGAGAGCGTGCCGGAGAAGCTGCAGCTGGGCATGGCGCTAGAGCTGCTGGAAACTGTGTTAGAGTGAGTGCCGTTTTCCGCTTTCTGTCCTGGAAACAGCCCTGGAGTAAGTCGGAGGGCTGTGGAGTAAGTGCGATGGGCGGTAGGTTGAGTGGTCAAGTGGCAGGATGAGAGCGTGTCGGAGAAACCTGCAGCTGGCCATGGCGCTGGAGCTGCTGGAAACAGTCCTAGAGTGAGTGCGATGGGCGGTGGAGTGTGGGTCCTTAGAGTGAGTGCGATGGGCGGTGGAGTGTGGGCCTTAAAGTGACTGCATGGGCGGTGGGTTGGGGACTGTTAGAGGGAGTGTGAGTATGGCCACCAGGTTTGTGAAGCATACTGTTCGGTTGGGTAAAGTCTACGGGCATCAGGTGAGACCCGCGGTGGTCACCACCACAGGTAAAGGGTGGAATACAGGTGGGTGGCATCAGATTGGTTGATTATGATGACAGAATGAGTGAGGGACGTCAGTTCAGGTCTATAAGACAGTTCTATGGAGTGTGGGTCCTTAGAGTGAGTGCGATGGGCGGTGGAGTGTGGGGCCTTAAAGGACTGCATGGGCGGTGGGGGGACTGTTTTGTGAGTATGGCCACCAGGTTTGTGAAGCATACTGTTCGGTTGGGTAAAGTCTACGGGCATCAGGTGAGACCCGCGGTGGTCACCACCACAGGCCTCTGGTGGAATACAGGTGGGTGGCATCAGATTGGTTGATTATGATGACAGAATGAGTGAGGGACGTCAGTTCAGGTCTATAAGACAGTTCTATCAGTGTCCTTATCGGTGTTCATTTCATCTTCTCACTTGTCTTGCCTTTTCCTTCCCTTACCTTGTCTCCCTCCCCCATCGCTCTCCCTTCCCTGCAGTGTCATTGAGGTGCCAGGAGGCTTGGAGAGGTACCCCCCGCCCCTGCCTCTGGAGGACCTGGCTCGGCCGGAGCTGCTGTGCAGCCTCGTGCAGCTGCTGCTGCGGGCGAAATCCCCACCTTCAGGAGGTGAGAACAACATTTTACCCTGGAGAAGCTAGCTTCTAAGAATTCTCAAATCCGAAATTCCCCACCCTCAGGAGCTGAGCGGCGCCAATGAATTGTTTCACACAGCCCTCAGGAGGTGAGAGCTTTGGAGAATTACGTTTTTAGCATCAGCCAGCGGAAGCTGCATCCAATTCCATGCCAGATTGCAAACCTGACTCCTGAGATGCTCTCCATTTGGTGCCACAGCAATGACAAGCAGGGCTAGCAAGCAGGCAGCCAAAGAGTTTTTTCAATATCTTTGGCCGCATTTAGTGGGCCGAAATTTCCATATTGTGAGCCGAAATTCGAGTCGACTCAACCATCGGTCCATTCTGTGCAAGAATCAGGAAGCCAGTGCGCTGCCTCCCTTTAAAAAGGCTGCCTTAGTAAAGACTTCTTCACCGTTACCGCATTACTTAGACAAGTGTTTTCCCAACCCCTCTTGCAACCAGGATTCTCGAGTGCTCTCCATCCTGTGCCACGGTGTGAACCAGGCTGCTTGCAGAAAGGAAGGCCTTCTTGCTGTTATGACGTTACCTCCTCATTAGTGTTCTCCCAACCTATGATGGATTTGACACCAGATTCAGAAAATTTCAGGAGTCAAAACGTGGCGTTTTGACGTTTGACGCGTCAAAGCGTCAAAACGCTTGACTCTCTGGCCAAAATTTTCCGGGCAGCCCGAAATCGAAAAAAACGCCAATGTGCTATGTAATTGATGGAGAACGAGGCAAACTTGGATGCTTTTACTTATCAAGTACTTCTTTTTCATGACTGCCCCACATATCCTACAACTCCTGCTCCCCAACCCCCCCACCACCCAACTTCTCTTACTAACCCCCCTGTTCCCAGTTGTTTACCCCTGCCCGGGAGTTTTTTTTGCCTGCCCGCCAGAGCGTCAAACTGGGGGGTACCCCTGGGACAGGGGGCGTCAAGAGCGTCAAAACGCTAGCGCTTTGACTCAGAGTCAAAACGCTGAGCGCGTCAAATCCATCATAGCTCCCAACGCCTCCTACCACCAGGATTCTCGAGGTGCTCTCCATCCTGTGCCGCGGCAACAAGCAGGCGGCCAGTGAGCTGCAATGCTTAAAAAAGGCTGCCCCCTCTCTCCGTGACCTGCACCCGCTTGCAGAGGCCGTCCCCTCCATAACATTGAAAGTATTGTCCTCCACCCACCTCTGGTACCAGGATTCTCGAGGTGCTCTCCATCCTGTGCCGCGGCAACAAGCAGGCGGCCAGTGAGCTGCACACCTTGAAAGGGCCACCTCCCCTGTTACTCTGAACGCTTCTCTCCCTAACACCTCCCGTCACTACCAGGATTCTCGAGGTGCTCTCCATCCTGTGCCGCGGCAACAAGCAGGCGGCCAGTGAGCTGCACCGCTACGGGTGCTTCCCGATGCTGCTGTGGAAGGTGGTGGCGGGGGACATCAGCCACGACGATCGCACCCGCATCCTCAAGTTCCTCGCCCGAACGCACCTGTTGCAGGTAGGTTGAAGGGTTTATGGTTGGAGCCAGACAGCAGGGTCTAGTTCTTGGGGTTTTGGGGCTATGGCTAGGTTAACCAGCAGCAGGTCTGGGTGCCTCCCTCCCATGCTGCTGTGGAAGGTGGTGGAGGGGGATATCAGCCATGACGATCGCACCCGCATCCTCAAGTTCCTCGCTCGAACCCACCTCCTGCAGGCAGGTCCAGGGGCTGGGTTCGGGGCTTACAGGGTTTAGGGTTCATAGTTATGATTAGCAAGGTTTGGGTGCTTCCCCATGCTGCTGTGGAAGGTGGTGGCGGGCGATATCAGCCACGACGATCGCACCCGCATCCTCAAGTTCCTCGCTCGAACCCACCTCCTGCAGGCAGGTCCAGGGGCTGGGTTCGGGGCTTACAGGGTTTAGGGTTTATAGTTATGATTAGCAAGGTTTGGGTGCTTCCCCATGCTGCTGTGGAAGGTGGTGGCGGGCGATATCAGCCACGACGATCGCACCCGCATCCTCAAGTTCCTCGCACGCACGCACCTCCTGCACGTAGGTGCAGGGTTCTGGGTTTATTGTGGTTTTACTTGGCTTGATTTGAGTTTCATAGCTAAGGGTTAGCAAGGTTTGGTGCTTCCCGATGCTGCTGTGGAAGGTGGTGGTGGCGGGCGACATCAGCCATGACGACTGCACGCGCATCCTCAAGTTCCGCGCACCACGCACGCACCTCCTTCAGGGTCTGGAATTGAAAAAATATTGTAGATGATTGGATTCTTAGATGGTCTGCTTCGTAGGGTTAGGTGGTTGGTTGTTAGGATTCAGGAGATCATCCTTGATCCATTCTTCTCCTCCTCGTGCATTCTCCCCTCCTCGTCCATTCTCCCTCCCTCTCCCTCTCGCCCTCTCAGGACCCATCTGCCCTAGAGCATGCGCCTGTGAAGGGGCTGGTGGTAGTAGAGCATCTGCAGTGGCATGAGAGCATTCTCAGTTGGCTGGTCCTAACCTGTTCTCCATGCTCCTCTGTTTGGTCTCAACCCGTTCTCGCATCCCTACAGGACCCATTGGCTTTAGAGCACGCGCCTGTGAAGGGGCTGGTGGTGGTGGAGGAGCACCTTCCGTGGCATGAAAGCATTCACAACTGGTCCTATCATAATTGGACTTAACCTCTTCCTCTTGCTGTCTTGCTCACCTTTTCCCCCCCACAGGACCCATCTGCCTTGGAGCATGTGCCGGTGAAAGGGCTGGTGGTGGTGGAGCCTCTGCCGTGGCATGAGAGCATTCTCAACCCTTCCTGTCCTATTCTTCATGCTCCTCCTCGTTCTCTCCTGTTCACAGGACCCATCGGCCTTAGAGCACGTGCCAGCGAAGGAGCTGGTGGTGGTGGTGGAGCACCTTCAGTGGCATAAGAGTATTCTCATCTCAACTCTGCCTGTCATATTTTTCATGCTCCTCCTCGTTCTCTCCCGTTCACAGGACCCATCAGCTTTAGAGCATGCGCCAGTGAAGGGGTTGGTGGTGGTGGAGCATCTGCCGTGGCATGAGAGTATTCTGCGGCTGTACCTGCCAGCTGGGCTCGTCTCCAAGCTCATTCAGGAGGTGCGTGTAAGGTTTGCTGCTGCTGTGCGGGGCCGCTCTGTTGTTTAATGTGTGTGTGAACTTTTGTGCGTGCGTGCGTGCGTGTAGAGCTTTCAAACGTGATACAACCATAGTGTTCCTTACTTGCCTCCTTCTTTCCAATACCACTCCGTCCTCTGCCGACCAACCGCACTGCTCACGCTTCTCCCAAACCCGCCCTATTCCACCCACATGCAGAGCTACCTCCACCCAAGATTGTGTGTGGGGGCCCCTCCCTCCACTATAAGCTGACGTTCTGACTTCTTATGCCTCCCATGTATTCCCATGTATGCACCTCAGGGACCGGAGCTTTTTCTGTCCAACCTAGCCACAGAGGACATAGACACACCCGAGATTTTGTGTGTTGCACTACTAACTGACTGCCATGTGCCTCTCCCATGTGTCTCAGGGCGCGGAGTTGTTCCTATCCAATTGGACACGGAGGACATAGAAACGCCCGAGATTGTGTGTGTGTGGGCTCCTGCCACTACCACCAACCGACCTTCTGATGCCTGTCCCATCCATACCCACCCCTTCATCTCAGGTTGCGTAGCTGTTCCTGTCGAATCTAGACACGGGGGACATAGACACTCTGAGGTCCGTTTGGCTCCGTCCTTCCACTGACAGCCCTTTCCCATCCATACCCACCCCTCTCACCTCAGGGTGCGGAACTGTTCCTGACCAACCTAGACACGGAGGACATAGACACGCCTGAGATTTGTGCGTGTGCCCTTGCCTCCACTTCTAACTGACTGCCATGTGCATCTCCCATGTGTCTCAGGGCGCATAGCTGTTTCTATCGAATGTAGACAGGGAGGACATAGGCACGCCCGAGATTGTGTGGAACGAGGAAACGAAGGAGCGTATCTCAGAGCCTTTCACTGCTGTGCCTGTCCCATACCCACTCCATTCAGCTCAGGGCGCGGAGCTGTTTCTGTTAAATCAAGACACGGAGGAAATAGACACGCCCAGGCTGCGCCCTCCACTACTGCCAACTGGCTGGCTTATGCTCCTCCCTCCCCCATGTATTTACCTCAGGGCGCGGAGCTATTCCTGTCGAATCTCGACACGGAGGACATAGACACGCCCGAGATTGTGTGTGTGTGCCCCTCCCTCCACCACCAACTCACCATCTTATGCCTCGCCTATGCATTCCCATGTATGCCTCCCAGGGCGCGGAGCTATTCCTGTCGAATCTCGACACGGAGGACATAGACACGCCTGAGATTGTGTGGAACGAGGACATGAAGGAGCGCCTGAGAAGCTTCCTGGAAGCAGACCTGCAGCCGTACGTGCAGGCGCGGGCAGGGGACCCCCACGCGGTCTATGTGTACGAGCCCAAGCCGCCACTCGTCTATCCTGAGCTCGCAGGTGAGATGAAACGCTCAGATTGTTGTAGAGGCTTCAAGAAGCAGGCACAAGACCCCCATGCGGTGTATGTGTCCGAGCACAAGCACAAGCCACCACTCGTGTACCCGGAGCTTGCGGGTGAGCTGTGAGACACTCGAATGACTTTAGAGGCGCCTCAGAAAGTGGGCAGGAATCCCCACGCAGTGTATGTGTACGAGCCCAACCCAAGCCGCCACTCGTGTACCCTGAGCTCGCAGGTGAGTGTTGAGACGCTCTGATCTGATGTTGATTTGAAAAGCTCTGATGGTGAGCACTGATGGCACGGGCGTGGGTCCGCCGAGCAGTGTATGTGTGTATGAGCCAAAGCCGCCACTCGTGTAGAGCTCGCAGGAGAGATGAAATGGTCTCACGATGGGATTAGATGCTACGCTCTGATGGTGAGATGAAACGCTCCGATGGTGAGATGAAACGGTTGGCAGGTGGGTGGGACGCGACTCGTTGGTAAGTGATCGTGGTGAAGTGTGTTGCTCCCTCCCTCCCGTCACAGGCACCGTGTGTGGCGCCTGTGTATCTGCACAGCGTGCTGGGCGCTGAGAGGTTCCCTTTCCATGTTTCCTCTGCCTTTGCTGTGCCTATTTTTCTTCCTTCCTCGCTCCCTCCCCAGGTACCATCTTTGTGGCACCTGTGTATCTGCACAACGTGCTGGCCGCTGATCTGAGAGGGGCCTTGACTGTGCGTTCACCATCCTGAGAGGCTCCATTACCCATGTCTCCGTCTTCCTGCTCTTTGTCTGCCATTCTCTCTCCCTCTCCGGGTACCATCTTCGTGGCACTGGTGTTTCTCTGCACAATGTGCCGGACGCGGGGAGGTGCCTGTTACTGTGCTCTCGGCACCCTGAGAGGCTCCATTACCCATGTCTTTATCTTCCTTCTCTCTTTGTCTGCCGTCCTCTCTCCCATGCCAGGCACCATCTTCGTGGCACCGGTGTATCTGCACAACGTGCTGGACGCTGAGAGGTTCCCGGCGCACCAAGTGTTTGACTCCACGTCCTTCCACCACAGTGTGCTCCGGGTGAGTCGGGTGCTGGCTGTGCTTGCGTTGAGTGCTGCTTGACTAGCGAAGTTTCTCCTGTGTTGACTCACACCACGAGGCACCAAGCGTTTGACTCCACGTCCTTCCACCACAGCGTGCTCAGAGTGAGTGGAGTGCTCAGGGTAAGTCCACTGCCGGCTGTGTTTGTGTTGAGTGCTTGTGCTTGAGGTGAGTGCTACTTGACTAGTTGCGTTCCTCCTGTGTTGACTCATAGCGTGCTCAGGGTGTGTTGAGTGGTGAGGGTTTCCTGAGTGGTGAGGGTGAGGGCTGGTTGCGCTTGATTTTGAAGAATGATATGGCGTGTCAAATGTTGCGGGGATGTGAAAGCAACTGTATTCCCCCCCATCCCCCATCTCCCATGGCTCCTGCAGTACCTCTAACCCCAGGGGTACGAGCGCATTCTGGAGTCCATGTCAGCAGGGGGCAGTGGCACTAAGACGTTTTGGCAACTGTATTTCCTCTCACCTCCCCCCATCTCCCCTCTCCCCATCTTTTCTCTCACCAGGAGTACGAGCGCATTCTGCAGGCCACGTCAGCAGGGGGCGGTGGTGCAATGAATGTTCCTCCTCTCACTTCTCCCATCTCCCCCCCACTCTCTACCGTTCTCCCCCTCTCCCCAGGAGTACGAGCGCATTCTGCAGGCCACGTCAGCAGGGGGCGGTGGTGCAGTGACGTGGCGCCAAGAAGCCCCCCGCCTTGTGCTGCTGCTCAAGGCTCAGGTGAGGCGTCAGGTGCTAGCAGCAGAGGCGTCAGGAAGAGAGAGGTGTTAGCAGATGAGGCGTGAGGTTGTCATGGTCCTGGATTTATCTGGGTGTCACTACCATTGAAGAAGGTGCCTCCAGCCAGATCAGGGGCGGTTTTTCAAAATCGATCAGAGGTGGCGTTGTATCTTTGGGTCTTCTCTCATTCCTTTGTCAGGCTGATATTGAATATTGTGCTGTTAAGTTTTGAGACAAGCAACAGTAGCAGCAGCAACAACAACATCAGCAGCAGTGGCTGGCGAGGGTAGTGGTCTCGAGCTACCTTTTGAAGCTGGTGGCGGCGTTGGCGGTGGCGCCGAGATTCCTTCCGCGGGTTGCAGTGGTGGCGGTGGTAGTCACAGCTCGTCCCCACCGCCGCCACCACTGCCACCCGCGGAAGGAATCTCGGCGCCACTACCAACGCCTTCACCAGCCTCGGAAGGCAGCTCGAGGCCACCATCCTCGCCAGCCGCTTCTGCTGCTTCTGCTGATGTTGTTCCTAATGCTCCTGCAGCCTGCTCCTCTGCACCACCATCACCACCACCACCACTATCACCACTGTTGAAACTCCGTCCGTTTTTCCAACTGATAATGGACATTGTGCAGTCAAGTGTTCTAGTTTTGGTAGTGTAGTTTACACCTTCTCGACCTGACTGGCATTTGGTTTTTTCTTTGTCCATCTCCGTCCGTTTGCTTGTTCCCCGGGCAGTGATTCTGGACCGGTACCAGCAGATACCTCTGGGTGCAGAGGCAGAGAGCGTGGTCATTGACATGGCAATTCCTGCACTGGGCGTGTGCATCACTCAGAGGGAGGGGTGCTAGTACCATTCCTGCTCAATCCCCCTCACAATCCCTCCCTTTCCCTCTTCCTTTCTCCCTCCCTTCCCCCTTTCCTATCTCCCATCGTCCCTCCCTATCACCTCCCTCCGCTTGCTTACCCCACCTCTTCGCCCTCCTCCTCGAACTCCAGGCGGTGATTCTGGACCGCTATCCACAGATCCCACTGGGTGCAGAGGCAGAGAGCGTGGTGATCGACATGGCCACCCCAGCGCTGCGCGTGTGCATCGCTCAGAGGGACGACTGTCCGCCTCAGATGGCCGACATTCTGCAACATGCTGCTAAGATCCTCAGAGGGATTGCGGCTACCAGAGACAAGTGAGTCAAGTCATTATAAAAGTTGTATTGTGGTCTTAATAGTAAAGGTTCCATTTCGACTCAAGCATTTCTCAGAGGGACGACTGCCCCCCTCAGATGGCCGATATCCTGCAGCATGCTGCTGAGATCCTCAGAGGGATTGCGGCTACCAGAGACAAGTGAGTCAGGGTCTGAAGTCACTTGGTTTGGGATATGTTCAGAAACCAATTCGTTGCTCAGAGGGACGACTGTCCGCCTCAAATGGCCGATTTTCTGCAACATGCTGCTAAGATCCTCAGGGGGATTGCGGCCACGAGAGACAAGTGAGTGCATCAGGGGTTTGGTGAGTCGACTCAGAGGGACAACTGCCCCCTCAAATGGCCGATATCCTGCAGCATGCTGCTAAGATCCTCAGAGGGATTGCGGCTACCAGAGACAAGTGAGTCAAGTCAACCTTTCCAGCTAGTCAACCTTTTTCCGGCAGGTGGTTGGACTTGCTACTCGAAAGTCCCAAATTGCAAGCGCATCTAAGTTTGAGCACGCCTTTGAGAATTCTCAAATTGCAAGCGCACTTTTCTTCAAGTTTGAGCACGCCTTTGAGAATTCTCAAATTGCAAGTGCATTTTTCTTCAAGTTTGAGCACGCCTCACCGTCAAGCTTTTCTTCAAGTTTGAGCACGCCTCACCGTCAAGCTTTTAGAACTTGACATGCGCGCCTTGCAATTTGGGCTGCGGGCTTTAATAGCCAAGGTTCTTATTCGACTCAAGCGTCGCTCAGAGGGACGACTGTCCCCCTTAGATGGCTGATATCCTGGTGATAACAGTGATTTTTTTAGATGTCTCAAAACTCACTTTTATCACCTGACATCCTGCAGCATGCTGCTAAGATTCACAGAGGGATCGCAGCGAACGAGAGACAAGTGAGTTGAGACAAATGTATTGTGACTCAGGGGTTCTGTGATTGAAATGATAGGAGCTTTTTTTGACTTGAGCATCGCTCAGAGGACGACTTTCCCTTAGATGGCCGATAATCTGCAGCATGCTGTTACGTTCTTCAAGGAAGTTTCACCTAGTCAGAAGTGATCCAGGGTCTTATTTACGTGAGTCTTTTAGTGTGAAACAGAACTATGTACTCAGCAACTGTCAAAACCTTTGTGTTTTTTTCCGTGATTCCCATCCCATCCCTTCCTCCCCTTCCTCCCCTTCCTCCCGTGACAGGGACGCGGACGTGTCTCAGCCGTCCATCAACTTTGCCCTCAGCGTGCTGTCCTGTGGCGCGCGTGTGAAGTCGGATGGGAGCTTCCCCGACTCCCCTGCCAAGTCCCCCCTCGAGCCCGCCCTCTCCTGCGCCCTCTCCATCCTTGAGCTTGCCGCCTCCTCCAAGTGAGTGCTTCCCATTGCTGCTTCTTCCAAGTGAGTCCTGTCCTCTGTGTCACAAGGCACGTACGTAACTACAACAAAGCTTCCCCGACCCGCATTCCATGCCTCCCCTATCGAGACCGCCCTCTCCCGCGCCTTCTCCATCCTCGAGGTTACTGCCTCGTCCAAGTGAGTGCTGTCTGTTAAGTCGAGTCATCTCACAACGCACGTGTGGGACACGAGATTTATTCGACAGGTTTTCCGACTGCCCTTCACGTTCCCTTTCTAGACCGCCCTCTCTTACGCTCTCTCGATTCTCGAGTCCTAATGAGTCCTGCCTTATAAGTCACACATATGCGCTTATGATAAACATCTTAACTCCTTTGTAACCTTCCATCACCTCCCTCCCACAGCTATCACCATCACAGGGAGGGGCGCAAGCAGCTGAGGGACGACGTGCGGTGGCGCAAGGGCTTCTGGTGGGCGCTGTGCTCATCATAACCTCTGCATCCCCTTAAAACCCCCCGTAAACCCTCATACTCCCCCATAACCTCTCATCACCACTACAGGGAAGGGCGCAAGCAGCTGAGGGACGACGTGCGGTGGCGCAAGGGCTTCTGGTGGGCGCTGTGCTCCGCTGCAGGGGAGAGCAGCCGGGGCAGCGCAGATGGCGTGCCGTGCTCGCTGGCCTTTGCTGCTCTTGACTGCCTCAATCACTTTGCTGGGGACCGGGATATGTGCTACCGGCTGATCAACCAGGTGGGGCGAGCGTATTTGAGTGTTCCTGAATGTGTTCTTGTGTGTATGCGTGTGGTTTTGAGGTGTCTCACAAGCGGATGGTGTGCCGTGCTCGCTGGCCTTAGCTGCTCTTGACTGATCAACCAGATGGGTGAAGCATGTGTGTTAATGTGAGTGTATGTGCATTTGTTTGTGTTACCAATAATGCCATGGTTTATTTTTTGTCGTTTTCCTTCTTCATTTTCTCTCCCCTCCATACCTGTCCCTCCCTTCCTTTCCTTTCTCCCTCACCCCGCACCCTTCTTCCCATTGGCCAGGCTCTTCATCTGCCTCTGCTGCTCCTCGCCGTTCCATCAGAGTCAACCCTTGAGGATGAGCGGCGCCGCAATGAAACAGGTAAGCCAAGGCATAGCGGCAAGCTAGGGCGAACTGTTAAACCAAGGTGAGCCAAGGTGAACAGGCAAATCAGCCGAGCCATAGAGGCAAGCCAAGGGGAACTGGTGAGGCCAGGCAAACAGGTAAGCCAAAGGATTCAAACACCCGAGGCATAGAGGTGAGCCAAGATGAAGTGGTGAGCTTGGATCCGTCTCTTCTGAGCAACCCAGCGTCAGAAGATGGGGGGTGAACTCATTAGGAAGAGAGTGTTTGAGCCGAGCTTAGGGCGCTTGTGATGCTTCGAAGCCTGAATGCTCCAATGCTCTTCCGTTCCTCTGTCTTACCCAGCACGCCAGGAGCCAAATTGTATCGCGAACGCTCTGCAGCAGAGCGTATGGAGACGGCTTGAGCTCTTCTCACCCTCGCAATCACTTGTTCGAGTGGTTCCCGTTTCCCTTCCCTGTGCCTTGCCTTCCCTTCCATCCCACCCTCTGCCTTGCCCAAGCAGGGCAGGAGTCCAACTTCAGGGCAAAAGCATCACAGCAGGTGGCAGCTGAAGTCCTCGCATGCTCGTAATCACTCTCGAACAAGCCCTTCATACCTTCCCTGCTGTTCGCCCCCACCCTTCCCTCCCTGTTGTCCCACCCCCCCATCCCTCCCCAAGCAGGTCAGGAGCCCAACTTCAGGGCAAAAGCATTACAGCAGGTGGCAGCAGAGGTCCTCCCCACGCTCCCAAACACTCTCGAGCAAGCCTTTGATACCTTCCTGCTGTTTACCTCAACCTTGACCCCTCCCTACCTGCCAAAGCAGGTCAGGAACCCAACTTCAGAGCGAAAGCATTACAGCAGGTGGCAGCTGAAGTTCTCCGCACCCTCGCAATCACCCTCGAGCAAGCCCTCCCGCCTGACGGCGAGCCGAGCCCCCGAGGCTCGCTGCTGCACATGCAGCAGCAGGAGCAGCAGCAGCAGGAGCAGGAGCAGGGCGGCCTGCTTTCATACGTCATCCCCTGGGGGCTGCTAGACGCGCTCAAGAATCCTGATGCTGGGGCGGCGAAGCTTGTCGCGTTGGTGGGAGCGGACGGCGAGATGCCGACCGCGATCTGGAACGCGGCGGTGAGGGAGGAGCTGAGGGGGAAAGTGGAGGCGCGAATTAAGAGGTTCAATCTGGCGCAGGCTGGAGGGGGAGGAGCGGGGGGAGGAGCGGAGGAGGACGACGAGGTGGCGTGGCTGCGCTCTTTCAGGTGAGAATGGGGCGGTATCAGGGGGTTCCAGGGGGTTCCAGGTGGTACTCTGGGCTGTGAGTGACACGGTGTGGGTGTGAGTTAGGGTGGGGGCAGAGGGGGTGGGGGCTGAGGGATGCTGAGACGCCGACCGCAATCTGGAACGAGGCGGTGAGGGGGGAGCTGAGAGGCAAGGTGGAGGTGCGGATTAGGAGGTTCAATCTGGCCGAAGCCAGGGGTGCGGGAGGAGGGGTGGGTGGAGGAATGGAGGAGGAAGATGAAGTGGCGTGGCTCCGCAGGTGAGAATGGGGCGGTGCCAGGCGGTATCAGGCAGTACGAATGAAAAGAACTACATACAAAGGGTGGACGGCGTGGTTCTTGAGCTCGAGAGGGGAAAACCGCTATCACAACAAAAGTTAGCAAGTGGAAGGTATGAGGGCTCAAGGGACGATTTCCTTATGCTGTCTATTGTGGCACGAGACGGGGTAACAACTTTGGAGTTCAAGTTAACGACGTGAACATAGAGGACTTCCCGACGAACTTGGTCGGAATGGTTTCGGAGTTTGGGTATGTCCCTTTAGGATGTAGATTGTCGATTGCGCATGTGTTTACCACACCTGCACAATTTCTCTATGTCTACAACAGCGCGAAATTGCGCAGTTGTGATAAACACATGCGGAATCGGCAATCTACAGCCTAAGGGGACATGCGCAAACTCGGAGGTCATTCCAGCTAAATTCGTCTGGAAGTCCCTTATGTTCACCTGGTTAACTCGAACTCTTAAGTTGTTGTCCCGTATCGTGCCACCATAGACACTAGAAAGAATCGTCACCTAAACCCTCAAACCTTCCACCTGCTCTCTTCTTGTGACAGCGATTTCCCCCCCTCTAGCTCGAGAACCACGCCGTCCACTCCTTATATGTGATTCCTTCCATTTTTATTTGATTTCCCCCTCTTCTCTTCTCCCTTCTCACCTCGCCCTTCACCTGCTCCCTCACTTCCAAGAAGTTCATCGTCTCATGCATTCCCCCTCTTACTCTTATCTCCCTTGTCTCCCTTGTCCCTCTTGTCCCCCCGGATACTTCCTTTTCTCTCCCTGCTTCTCCCATTCTTCTTTTCCTCTCCTTTGGTTTTCTCTATTTTCTTACCCTCTCCTTGCTCCTCTCATGTCTATCAGGTACGATTGCCTCAAGGATGAAATGGTCATTTCAGGCATCTTCGTCCGCGGGTACGCCGCTGGCAGCTGGGAAAACTTTGACCTGCCCGACGGCCGTGCGTTTCTCATGGCTCTTCAGGACTACCTTCGCTGCTCCCTGCCCATCATCTCCTCCCAATCCTCCTCCTCTTCTTCCAACCTCATCACTCCTCCATCTCCTAGCAGCATCGTCACCACTTCAGCAGCTGCCTTTGCCTCACAGCCTCCCACTATCGCCGGGTTCCTAATGGTTCTTAAAGCCCTGGCGGAGTGTATTAGGTACGCGGTAGAGGACGGGAAGAGGGGCATGTTGGCTCACATAGACTATCTCCTTCTTGCGGAAATTTTGGCGGCTGCCCCGGATACGCTTCCAACTGCCCGGCGGCTGGTCGTGGGCATCGCACAGATTGTTTCAGGTGCCCCTACGAGCCGAGAGCAGCTGCTGGGGTCGTCTTTGCTGCCTGTTTTGGCAAGGCAGCTATGGAGATCAGTCACCATACCAGGAACGGGAGTGGAAGAGGGTGTGGCGGCACCAGAAGGGGAGGAGGATTTTAGAGCAGGGTTGAGTGAACTGGCGCTGGCGATTCTCGATGCTGTTTTGGATCTGAGTGTGGAAATGGCAGCGGTTGTAGCGGTTACCAACCATTTTAGTTCCAGCAGTCTGCTTCTCGTGCTGCTCGCGCTCTTCCTCCGGGTCCCGCTGCCGCCGTTCAAGGGCACCTCGAAAAAAGCAGCCGCGCAGGCGTGGAGCGAGGCAGAGGAGGCAGGAGTGCTGGACACGGCACAGTTTCGAGCTGCCCAGATTCTCGGGCAGCTGCTGCTGGCGGCCTGTGGAGTGCAGGACCGGGCGAAATTTATCGCGGGGATTGAGGAGGAGGGGGTAGAGTCAGCAACAGCATTGGGTGACGGTGCGAACGGGATTGATAACCTATCTGTGGATGAGGAGGTGTTTTCCGACCCTCATGGGGACGTTCGGGACATCCACAATCTGATTTCGCTCCTGGAGCCAGGTGCGGCACCAGCTGTACCTCTCATCTCGGTTCGGGTGCTGTACTTGCTGCTGCCGATGCGAATCCTCTCGCTCCTCATGTCCGATCCTGAGGGGGCCTGCCGGGCTATTGGTTCCCCGAGCTGCACCCCGCTGCTTGTGTGGAACGATGCTTCAGCGAGAAGGGCGAGAGATGCAATCAAGAGGGAGGCAGAGGAGGTGCTGAGGAGGCACGAAGGGGAGGTGAGTGAGGGGAAGCAGCAGCTGGGGCTGCCTATGTGGGATCTAGAAGCTGGGGAGGAGATGGACGGTGGCAGTGCGGGGAGGGGCAGGGAGGAAGCAGCTGCGTTCCGACCCTTCTTCCTGCAGTACGTGCGAGAGAGCATCGAGTTGGCAAAGGATGAAGGGGAGGGAGCGACAGGAGGAGCCGAGGCGGCGGAAACGCTGTTTTCGGAGCAGGAAAAGGCGGGGTACGTTCCGGAAATGTACATTGGTGGGTGCTATGTGGACCAGTTATTGCGCCAGCCGAGATTTGATCTCGGGAAGCGAGTGGAGCTGCAACTGGTGAGGGAAATTCGGAAGGCTATAGTCACTGCTGCACCAAACGAAGGCAAGAGATATGAGGAGTTTACCACAGCGGATCGTAGAAGGCTCCTTCTGGCCCTGCTCGCCCTTTTCCAGAGCCGCCCGCACCTGCTGACCATCACCAACACGGACATTTTCCTGCCCGTGACGGACTTTTTCACGTCGGGCAGCGGCGAGGAGCGGCGTGCGCTGCTGCAAGCGGGCGTGTTACTGTTCCTGCGCATGGTTACGTCGAATGATGTGGCGGATTTCGTCTCTTCTGAAGAGCTCATTTCGCTTCTCTCGAAGCTGCTGTTGCTGGAGGTACCGGCTGGGAGACAGGGGCAAGCTGCTACAGATCCAAGGGTTTGCGCTCTGATGCTCATGCAGAAGCTGTTCAGACTTTCCTCAAAGGCTGTTGAGTTGGGGTTGCAGCATCAGGTGGTTGATCGGCTGGCGTCTCTTGTACTCGATACAGAGAACTCCATTATTGTGCGTGCGCGCGCTGCTGCTGTGCTGGGCGCTATGGCTGGAGAGAGGCGGCTGGGGCCTGAGATTACAAGGCAGGCGGAGAGGATTTTACCGGAGAGTTACAAGAATCATATCGCTTGGAAGGTTGGGTTCTTGAAGCAAGGGGCAGAAGAGATCGGGCAGAAAAGCGTGCCGACACTTTCAGAGGAGATTGAGGTTAAAACCATGCGGCACTTACTTAAGTACCCGCTACCTTGTGCATGGTGGACAACGGATATTCCTGAGGACGGGGGGATGGAAGGAGGAGGGGATGGGGGTGGTGGGGAAGGGGAGGATGTGAACAGCGGTCCGACAGCTGTTGTGGAAGCTGCCTTGATGTTTCCTGCTGCCAGGCTGGATGCATGGAATGATGAGGTGGACGGGGCTTTAAGGCATGGGTTGGCAGCAGCTGCTCTCACCAACACACGGAATGTGAGGATTCTGAGGAAGAAGCTGGCTGGGGCGAAGGGGGTGCTGGTGGAGGTAGAACTGCAGTTCCAACCTCCCCCAGGTGCTGCCGCGAGAGCCAAGAAGGGGGAGACTGCAAGGACGTCGGTGGATGATCCGACGAAAGCCGCCCGGACGTTCAAGCAGAGGTTGGAGACTCAGCTGGGGGTATGCTTGCTCCAGAGGTGTTTGAGTCGATGGGTCATCCGGCTGTTCGCTCCTCGACGGTTAGAAGCTGGGGCCGATGATCTGGTGGTTGTGCTGTTGTTATGCATCTCGAATTTCATCATGTGTCGATGGGTAACCCGGCTGTTCGCTCCTCAACGGTTAGAAGCTGGGGCCGATGATCCGATGGTGGTGATTGTGTTATCGGTACACTTTACAAGAAGGCTTCATATGGGTTTACCAGAGGTTGGAGAAGTAAAATGGGGGAGTATATAAGTGTTAGGGGCGGTTTAGTCCGTGCTATTGTGTGACTCAGAAGCTAACAACTGGTTGAGCCTGGGAGAAATGCTCTTGAAAGAAACGATTATAACGTGCATGGGTTATTCTAGATTGGAATGTATGATTGCAGTTCCTGGTTCTTGTTACTACAATGTGCTGGCTGGTGGTCTGAGAAGGCTAATCGCATAAAGGGAGAGCCCACAATTGCCATCAATTTAATATCCCTTCCATCTAAAGTTGATTAACGTGCTGTGTTCAATGTTTTATCTAAACAAGCTGTTACGTAATAATGGAGTCTTATGCTGGTCAGAGTTGTTTCGCGGAATTGCAATCGAGGATACGTGGTGAACCAGGTACGACAATCCTTGTGCTTTTCGCTCATTGGTTTACCCAGTGTCTTTGAGATCATCTGGTCTCAAAACGTAATCATGACGTGTCACTAACAATGAGAGCGTTTCGGATAGCACCTCCGAATGCGGTTGAATAAGGCTGATTACGATCCTAAACAGTCTATTAAAGGGTGTCCTAAGGACGTGGTGCAGAACGGGTCCATACCCGGTGCATCGAGGCGTTCCGGGGCGTACTAGGGCGCCTCAGCTCGCCCTGTGGCACGCCTCCTGCCCAAGATAAATTTCTGGCATAATATACCTTAGCGGACGAAAAGTGCCGCCCAGATTCGCGGTTTCGATAGGACAAGGGCCCCCTCGGGATTGACGACCTCCCGACGACTTCCGAGCGGCAAGGGGCCTCGGGAGCCCTCGGGATTGTCGACAATCTGACGACCTCCGTTTCCGCTGGGAGATTCCTGAGAAGGAAATCTCAGCGGACAAAATAGGAAAGCTCGCCACGTCGAGCCGCGACTGCTGCCACGCGGCCCAATAGGGACGAGCCAGGAGGTCCCCCACGATAACAAGACTGCCACGACGCTCACGTCGTGGCCACGCGTCGCTCCGGCGGCGAGTGTTTCGCGCGGGAAGTCGACGCTCCCGCCAAAATTGTCGGTGCTCGATCCACGCGGCGCAGATCGGACCGTCAACCTTGGTCGGTGTCGACCAAGTCATCCAACGGTCCACAACCGAGCAACGCGGCACAGGCACAACAGTGTCCACGTTCAATGAACCTAACCACACAAATAAGCGCGCCGACGAGTAGTCGGCGCCGATCACCAGGCGATCGCGGTAGGGTTGCCACGCGGCCCCGCAGTAATCCAGGGCCCCTGGGAGGTGGAAGTCGGCATGCCGTTATTTCCGCTCTGAGGCGCCAATGTCGGGCCCACGCCACGTCACACACGCCCATTCCCTCGTGGAATGGCCCAGGCTTACGCCCCAAGGGTGCAGCGCGGCGTCCCAGGAGCCATGCTTGGCACGTGACACGTCGGACACTGCGCCGCCGCAGGAGAACGCATGCATAGCGGCAGCAGCATGGGGGGTTGCGTGAAGCGCGGCCGCTTCGGAGACGCTCGGGACCGTACTCCTTCGTGACCCTCCGATTGTGCTTATTCCCTTGTCAGTTCCTGCTTTCCGTCCTGCTCTCCGCTGCCTGTCTTTCTTCGCGTTTGTAGGCTTGTCGGCTGCCGACTAATCGATCCCGTCGGCACAGGTTGCTTCTACGTGGTCGCTAACAATCAGGTCGGTGTATAGGAAAACGAGAGGTCAGTACTTGTCGACGTCGACATCGGACGTGCCAGGGCAACATCGCCGCAAACTATCGACATCTTGGCCGACCTAGCAAGTCGGCGACGCATGGCCAGAGGTCGTCCTAGAGCCTAACAGCCCCAATCCATCCCACCCCCCGCCGACTCAGTAGACGACGACATCAAAGCGGAGCTGGAACGTCTTGAGGTCGAAGCCGAGTTAGACGCGATTGAGCGAGAATTCGAAGAAGACCGTTATTTCGCTCCCGTGACACAGTTCCGTCTCTGGTTTAACAACCTCCGCATCGCACACGGACGACAATAGCGCAATCATGGCAGACATGGCCGACGTCGACATGCCCGACGCTAGTCCACCCACCGACCACAATCCTACATCTACCGACGAAGAGACGCTCCCGTTACTCTACGATCTTGACAAGCTAACGCAGATTCCGGAAGGAGAGTTCACCAAGGACATTCCCCCACCGCCGATCGGGGAGTTCAACAAGAAAAAAAAACAGCAGCCTGCACGAAATGGACAGCCAGGAACGTCGTCGGCACATGCCGGCTCTGGAAACCAAGTTGACGCCGAGGAGGAGGAGGAGGAGGAGGAGGAGGAGGAAAGCGATGACGAATACGACGAGCGTCCACCCCGTAGCACTAATCCGCGCACCTTGGACGAACGACTCAGGCGGGAGCTTGAATTCATAGATGAACTGCTCGAAGAGGACGAGGACGCCGACCAGGAGAACATGTCGGTGCCGCGCGAACAGTGGAAGGCGGCAGACTTCGTCGAGGAAGACATGGTGTACGCGTGCATCGACGTGCTCGTCATGGACGCACTACGCCACCTGCAAATCCTGGAGAAGAACAGCACGCTGAGGCAGTACACCTCCTGGATATACCACTACAAGAGGTGGGCGGCGAAGATGTTGAGGCAGATAGGCGGCAAACTTCCCCAGGAGCACAGGCTTAAGCACGTCGACGAGATAGGCCACTACATCCGGGACAACAAGAAGAAGAATTGGGACCAGGAGGCCGATGTCCCCCGGGCGTACGTGTGGCTGCACGGCCCAAGGGTTACCATCATCCGGCTTCGCGCGTACGTGAAGTACATGGTGCGTGAGTGTAAGCTCGATGCCGAGTCCACCGAGGAGGGGGACAACGCCGCGCGAGCCCAGCCTGTGCACTCTACAACGGTGCACACGCTCCTCGGGCGCATAAAGGCATGCCAGATGGCGGCGAGAGTGGAGGCGACGCTCTACCGGGAGACGGAGCTGAGCATCATGCGGGAGATATCGGTGGTCAGGTCGGAGGTGCGGTTCATGATCCGCACCAAGAACGAGCGGGACATCAAGTAAGTGCAGGTTCAATCTATGTCGTCCACACTATGATGTCGACGCCGCCCTGAATGACCCTTACCCTTGGCTTTGTGGGCAGGAATTGCGCCGATCGGCGTCGAGGAACCCTCGGCGATACCTACACCGCCGAACAGTTTCGGCAAATCATGATGAGGGTGCTGCCGACGTGGGCGGCGAAGGCGTGGAACCCGCGTGGAACGTGTCCTTCGCAGACACTGTGGAGGTTTCTGCTCATCAAGGTGCTCACGCTTCTCTCCCACCACAGCCTCCTGCGCGGTGCAAGCATCCGCGAGATCACGCTCCCCGACATCTTCTTGTACCGACTGGCGAGCACCTCGTCGGTGAACCCGGAGAACCAGCCGGTCGTCATGGTCATCGCTGCGCGGAACTCGAAGACGTCCAAGGATGCTCGTTTGCAGCAGAGCTACGCGGCGCGGCACCTCGAAGCGGAGTTGTGCGCCGTCGGCGAGACGGGCCTGTGGCTGCACTTCGTCCTCGACCAGATCGGCCAGTTTCACGGCGTCCGCCTCATTCCGCCGGTCGACACCAGCACACGCGCGAGCTGGTACAAGAAGCACCTTTTCTTCGCCAAAAACGACACCGACCAAGGGGAGCTCTCTGCGGCAAGCCACCAACGCTGGACGCGGCAGTTGTGGGACACCAACAAAGTGTTCTGCAAGAGGAACGTGCACGCCGCTCGAGCGGGAGGGGCCCAGGAGCTGGCCATCGACGGCACGCCGCGCGCCGAGATCGCGGAGCTGGGTCACTGGGCGCTCGACAAGATGACGCGGGCGTACATCACCGCCATTCCGGTGGGGGTGGTGATGAAGAAGGCCGGGTACTCTGGTTACAAGCAGGACTACTTCTTGGGGCGGAGCAGGGTGGAACCCACCGACAAGCTCCTGAAGCTCCTCGCCGAGCACATATTCCCCGGCGTCGACGACATGCTGAAGACGGTAAGTTAGTCGACGCCCTCGTAGCCCTGTCTTCGAGTCGTCTTGCCGACCGTGTCTGAACACCTAATACACGTGACGAATTGCAGGCAGAAGGGAAGGCTGTCGAGGGGTCCGACGCCGACAAAGCCGCGGTGCACTTCTGGCGCACACTCCAGATGCTGCGCCGCATCGTCGCCGAGGACCTAGCTGTGAAGCTGGTCCGCACACCATGGCACCCGTACGTCCAAGGTTCCAAGCTCTGCCGGATCCCCCTCTTCCAGCACTGGGCGAAACGGGTGGAGAGCGTCGACACCGAGACGATCAACAAGCGTCGCGACCCGACCCAAATACAGCCAGAGGTAAGTCGACGATACTGTCGCCGACGGGCAGCATGTAGTGTTAACCAAACCACCGCGGCCCTAACGTCTTTTTCCTACCGCTGCAGGAAATCTCGGTCCGCATGGACACCGAGTACTACAACACGTCCCTCAAGGCCCAGCTGCAGTCGGAAAGGGAGCGCGCCGCGAACGAGAAGATTGATCTCCAGGAGGAGATCGAGAAGCGCGACAACACCATCGCAGGACTCACCGCCGAGGTAGCCCGTCTCACCGAGGCACTCAGCTTGTCGGAAGCACGGAGAGTGCCTGAGGCCCCGCCGTCGGCGCCCGTGCAAGCTCCCAGCGAGGGTGGCTCGGCGGATTCGGCCAGCACGGGGGCTGGAGCCAAGAGAGGGGATGACAAACCCCCGCCACCCCCACAGACGGACGAGGAGGCTAGTTACGAGCTCAACGTGGTGCAACCGTGGCGGGAGGCAAAGACTGTGAGGGACGCTTGGCGCCTATGGAACTCCGCCACCGCCAATGACACCCGTCGCCTTTGCGACAGGGTCCCCGAGCAGGGATTCGTCGCCCGCCACACCCTCCTCACAGGAAAGGGCGCGACGCAGGGTGGGCTCGACATGAAGGTGCGCCGCATGATGAAGGCCATGGATGCGGTGCGCCAGCTACGCGCGAGCGACGGCGACGCCGACACCGAGGCCGTGGTCGACGATCTGAACAGGATCGCGGCACCGGGCATTGGGACCTTCTGTGACGCCCTCACGGTGCTCAACCCGAAAACGGCACCGATGTTGTCCAAAGAGCCTGGCATGGGAGTCAAGGGGCTGGGCCCCAAGGTGGTCTCGAAGCTTCGCCTCGCCTGTGCGCTTGTGGCGCTCAACCTGAAGCCGAGAGATTGGCTCATCGGTCTGTTTCCAGACACCTGGGAGGAGCAGATGCCGAAGACCAAGGCCGACCTGGCGAAGCCGACCGCACCGGCCAAGTCGACAGCACCGGCCAAGCCGACCGCACCCGTGCAGCGTCCTCCGAACAAGCGCAAGAAGTCAGCATGAAGTCCCTCCTAGGATATGTGTCTGCGTAGTTTGATGCTGTTGATTTTGGCAGACTTACAAAGCCCCCCCCACCTCCCCCCCCTTCTAATACTGTTTCTGATAGTTTGTAAACAACCCACATCAAGATCCTTGCGTACACTACTTGTCGGTGAATGTTGTCGCTGAATGTTGCCTGTCGCCCAGAACGATAGTGTCGCAAAACTCGATGTCGACCTTTTGCCGACAAAGCTCACCGCCGAGAACCATGTTTCTATCATGTCAACGGTCCTCGCCGACTAGCATGTGCATATCATGTCGACATATGCGCCGACATGTCCCATCTGGTGATATTCGGTCAGCATGTTTCTATGTGGACACCGATTTGTTCAACCCAAAATGAAGCAAACAGAACTGTATCAAATACGATTCTTGTTACGAAAGAAAACATTTATCAAATCTGCGCCGAAATCGGCGCCGGCCATACCGACATAGTACACACCCTAGCAACCTAGGACACATCCGTCCGCCGACTACGCATCCGTACTGTCCTTCGCCTGCTTCTCCGCCTTCGTCTTCTTCCTCTTGCTGCCCTTGCCCTGCTTGACCTTCTCACCCTTCCTCCCCCTGTGCTCCAGATCGTACTCCATCTTCGCGTCACACGGCACATCGATGCCCTCCGCTTTGAGCTTGGGCCCGGCGACGGGGCACATTCCCCAGAACGCCAAGGTCTCGACCGTCGCTCTTGTCAAGATAGGTAGTAGAAAGTTTAGAGGCAGAAAGAGGAGTTGCACTAGCAAGCAGTTGAGTACATATAGGAACCCTAGATTGGGCTGTACTCGCTATAGAGTACCCCACTGCAGGCTAGACAAATACAACATTCTGACACACCCCCATAGTCAAAGTGGGGTATAATCAGCAGAGCAAGCAGTCATAGAGCAGATTCACAAGTGCATGCAAAGCTAGAGGCATTCACAAAGGGCAAGTGAGGAGGAGGAGGCGAGACTGTAGGTGGAGAGGAGATAAGAGGCGTCGGCTGAAGCTGCAGACACACGGGCAACAGGAGTCAAACTGGCTCAGTGGCTACCGGAACAAGCGCCCCGGACTACAGGAGTAACTGGCTCCGCGGCTAAGAAGAGCGGCAGACGAGCAACGGACCCACGGGCGACTGGCGCAGCTGGCTACGACTGGGCTACCGGAACAAGCGCCCCGGACTACAGGTGCTGCTGACGACAAGACGGCAGCCTCCGCTCAACCTCCCCCGACCGTCCCACGCCCCTCTCACACACCCCCTGCTGAAACCCTAGCTCCACATCCACGGCACCCCCCTTAAACCCTAAACCCTCGGCTCCCACACACCACCCCCCTCAGCGGCAGCTGTAGCAGAGGGAGACGAGGGAGGAGGAGGAGCAGGGGGAGGAACTCACAACCGACACCCCCATAGCCGCCACCCCCACACTCTTCACCCCCAAACCCTAATTCAGGAGAACGGGCTGTAGGAGGGGTGAGGCGCCGGTAGAAGCACGGGGGACAGTGGAGAGGGCAGGAGCAGCGAGGAACGGGCCGCCCACGGGCCTGGTAGAGCCGCCCGAACCGCGCGCAGGCGGCCCGAGCCGCGCGCGGGCCTGGCGCTTCCCGTACGGGCCGCGCGCGTGCCTGGCGCAGCCCGTACGGGCCGCGCGCGGGCCTGGCGCAGCCCGTACGGGCCGCGCGCGGGCCTGGCGCAGCCCGTACGGGCCGCGCGCAGGCCTGGCGCAGCCCGTACGGGCCGCGTGCCGGGTGTACGGGCCGCGCGCAGGCCACGACGGGCGACGGGGGGCGACGCGCGGGTCCCCGTCGCCCGTCGCAGCTCCTCCCGGGGGCGACGTGCCGAGTGACGGGGCAGGAACCCGCCGCGCGCCTCGGGGCACACGGCGGGCAGAGAACCGCCGCGCGCCTCGGGGCGCACGGCGGGCAGAAAACCGCCGCGTGCCTCGGGGCGCACGGCGGGCTGAAAACCCTAGTTTCGACGCCGCGCGCCACGGGGCGCGCGGCGGACAGGGAGTAGCAGTAGCAGTAGCAGTAGCAGCGGAAGGCTTAGGTGGTGGGCCCACCCACAGGATCGACCCAGGAGGGTCAACCTGCTCTGATAGCATGTCAAGATAGGTAGTAGAAAGTTTAGAGGCAGAAAGAGGAGTTGCACTAGCAAGCAGTTGAGTACATATAGGAACCCTAGATTGGGCTGTACTCGCTATAGAGTACCCCACTGCAGGCTAGACAAATACAACATTCTGACAGCTCTTGCGATCATGTCGGCCTCGACTTCCTCAATTCCCGCCTCGAAGGCCCTGGCCACTCCATAGCGCTGCAGCTCTGGCGCGACGTTATGTGCAACCTCCCCCGCGGGAGCCTTCCGACTTTTTGCAAAGTCGAAAACCAAGTGCATGACCTTCTTGAAGCGCTCGGCCCTCTCCTCCCCTGCACCTGCCACCATCGCGGCCGCCTTCCCTTCGCCCACAGCACCGAGCACCGACGCACCCGTCGACATGTAGCACCAGAGGGCGCATGCAGATGCCGCTAACGCCTGGGCCCCCATCTCCGTCTTCTCGTCCGCCTTACCCTCCGCGCCTTCCATCTCCGCGTTCTCACCCGCCTTCCCCTCCACGCTCGCGTCAACCTTCCCAAACGCCACGCTCGCCGCAACCTTCCCATACGCCGCGCACATCGACACGCGATTTACCATCGCCGACAAGAGAGCGGTGGTCTGCGCCTTGCCTGCCTCCGTGTCTTCGATGATGAGGAACCATATCGCCGGCCAGAGCACGTCATGAAGCGCATCACCCGAGCTCGCGTACCCACGGTACCTGCCGAGTATATCGTCGAACCTGCCGCGCAAAAACATTAAAACAGCACGGCTTTGTTTACATCAGCGATCTTGACACCGACTTGGTCGACAGAACTCGCCACGTCGGTAACCGACTTACCTTGCTCTCGGATGGCACAAGCCTCTGGCCCACATCACCGTCCACATCCCGGTCGACAGGAACCTGAGCTCCTCCCATACCGCCTTCCATTCATCCAATTGCCCCGGCTTCAAGACGGTGAGCTCCTTCGTCAGCACCTTGCTCACGTAGCCGTCGTAGAGCAAGTACGCAATCGCGTGCTCGTATGCCAGATCCATCTTATCGCGCGACTTGCCGATGTACCGATTCTGGCCCTTCATCTTGATCTCGCCCACCCACCCAAGCCCGTCGCCAGACCTGTCTCGGCGGATGCCATGACCCCGGCGTCCATGCCCTCCTCCTCCTCCTCCCTCCTCCTCCTCCTCCTCCTCCTCCTCCTCCTCCTCCTCCTCCTCCTCCTCCTCCTCCTCCTCCTCCTCCTCCTCCGCCTTCGCCTTCCTCTTCGCCGGCTTATGTTTGCCGCCCGTCTTGTCCTGATTCCGTGCCGGCTTCTTCCCTTTCTCTTCCGACATCTCATTCCCCGCCAACATCGCCCGCGTGCTCCTCTGCGAGACCGCCTTCCCTTTCCCGGTGTCGTCCTTACCCTTCCGTCCCGCATTTCCCTCGGCGACAGCAGCCGTTGCAGCCGTCGGCTCCGCCGAACCTTCACCGTGGGTCCCCGACGGCTCCGCATGCGCCGTGTCCACGATGGCCAGTGCCGGGGCATGCTCGGGCCGTTTTGCTGCTTCAAATTGAGCCAGAACGGCAGCGAGGTTGGCATGCCCGCCGGTGGCTAGCGCCGCGCTCACACCCTTCTCCGCCGCAGCATCGACCACAGCTGCACCTGGTGTGGGTGAAGTAACGTTTACCGACGTCGGCGTCGCGCTTTTGCCGGGTTCCGGCTGAGTCACTTCTCGAGCGACCACAGCTGCACCTGGTGTGGGTGAAGTCGCGTTTACCGACGTCGGCGTCGCGCTTTTGCCGGGTTCCGGCTGAGTCACTTGTCGAGCGACCACAGCTGCACCTGGTGTGGGTGAAGTCGCGTTTACCGACGTCGGCGTCGCGCTTTTGCCGGGTTCCGGCTGTGTCACTTGTCGAGCTCCCGCTTTGCGTGCGCCTAAATGGGCGCGAAGAAACGCGGATTTGGCTTCCGCGGGCGGTGGGGCGGCAGGTGGGGCACCGGTCGATTTGCCGACAACCTGCGATGTGACTGAGCGACGTGCTGTTTCGGCAAGGGCGGCGTCGACCACTGGAGGCTGCTGCATTTCCCTGCGATCCGCATCCATGCGGCGGAGCATCTCCCTGAGCGCGTTACTGCCGGCGGGCACCTTAGCAGGTGACAGACCTTCGGGCTTAGCCGCAGCAGCCGTCGCGTCGCCCTTGTCGGCAGTTGGTGCTGCTGGAGCTGGAGGGGCCGCAATGGCCGGCCCATCGTTGTTGGCGCCTGACTTGCCGGCCGGCGCGGGGGTAGCCGCTGGGGACTTACGGAGAATCGACTTGGCAGAGGCGGCCTTCGCCTTGCCCTTGGCCGCCACCGCGACGGACGGTCCCTTGGTGGTTCCGGCGCTGCCGTCGTTCGCCGCCTGAGCAGTAGGGGCCTCCTTGTCGGTCACGCCTTTCCCGGAGGTCGCCTGCGGTTCGGTCTGCTCGGCGACCAAAGGCGGGCCAGGCGGTGCAGCGACGTTAGCGGCAACCCCGTCGGCAGGGCCACCCTCTGCCCCCCCGCTTCCGCTTCCCTTGCTGTTCGACGTCCTTATCACCTTCCACCCCGCCTTCGACTTCAGCTGTTCGACCACGCTCTGAGCAGGAGGCTTCGTGCCGCGGCTCCCGTCCGATCCCTTGCTCCGCTTCACGCTCTCCTTGTCGTCTCCGTCGCCCGTCCTCTTCTCGCCCTGCTTGTCGGCCGCCCTCCTTTGCGCTTGATCTCCTCCAAAGCAGTACAAGCTCAGGGTGGATCACGATGTCACCACACATTCTGAGCACAAGCAAGAAGCAATAGTTTAAAGTTCACAGTTATGAGCAAAGCTAGAGGCAGTCACAGGGGGCAAGTGAGGAGGAGGAGGGCTGGCGAGAGGAGAGTAGATAGGAGGCGACGACTGAAGCTGCAGACACACGGGCAACAGACGGCTCTGGTGCGACAACGTGGCTACCGGGAATGAGTGCCCCGGAGTACAGGAGTAACAGGCTCCGCGGCTAATATGCGCGGCAGGAGCAACGGACCCACAGGCGACGGCGCAACCGGCTCTCTGAGCTACCGGTGGCTAATCGACCCCCGGAATACAGGCGCTGCGGACGACACGACGGCGGCCTCCGCTCAACCTCCTCCAACTGTCCCACACCCCTCGACACACACCCTCTGCTTCAAACCCTAGCTCCACTCCGACGGTACCCCCCTTAAACCCCAAACCCTAGGCTCCCACACACCACCCCCCTCAGCGGCAGCTGTAGCAGAGGGAGCAGGGGGAGGAACTCACAACCGACACCCCCATAGCCGCCACCCCCACACTCTTCACCCCCAAACCCTAATTCAGGAGAACGGGCTGTAGGAGGGGTGGGGCGCCGGTAGAAGCACGGGGGACAGTGGAGAGGGCAGGAGCAGCGAGGAACGGGCCGCCCACGTGCCTGGTATAGCCGCCCGAACCGCGCGCAGGCGGCCCGAGCCGCGCGCGGGCCTGGCGCTTCCCGTACGGGCTACGCGCGGGCCTGGCGCAGCCCGTACGGGCCGCACGCCGGCTGTACGGGCCGCGCGCAGGCCACGACGGGCGACGGGGGGCGACGCGCGGGTCCCCGTCGCCCGTCGCAACACCTCCCAGGGGCGACGCGTCGAGTGACGGGGCCGCGGGCGACGGGATCGGGGGGCCGCGGGCGACGGGATCGCAGGGCCGCGGGCGACGGGATCGGGGGGCCGCGGGCGTCCCCCACGGTAGGAAACCGCCGCGCGCCTCGGGGCGCACGGCGGGGAGAAAACCGCCGCGCACCTCGGGGCGCACGGCAGGAAGAAGACGACGCACGCCCGAGGCGCGCGAGAAGCATAACAGCAGCGGAAGCATTTGGTGGTGGGCCCACCCACAGGATCGACCCAACAGGATCGTCCTGCTCTGATAGCATGTCGAGAGAATTAGGCAAAAGAGAGGAGTGAACTAGCAAGAATGGGGATACAAATAGCAAACCCTAGAAGGGTTGTACTCGCTACAGAGCACCCCACTACAGGCTAGAGCATAATATTCTGACACCGTCTTGTCAAGATAGGTAGTAGAAAGTTTAGAGGCAGAAAGAGGAGTTGCACTAGCAAGCAGTTGAGTACATATAGGAACCCTAGATTGGGCTGTACTCGCTATAGAGTACCCCACTGCAGGCTAGACAAATACAACATTCTGACACACCCCCATAGTCAAAGTGGGGTATAATCAGCAGAGCAAGCAGTCATAGAGCAGATTCACAAGTGCATGCAAAGCTAGAGGCATTCACAAAGGGCAAGTGAGGAGGAGGAGGCGAGACTGTAGGTGGAGAGGAGATAAGAGGCGTCGGCTGAAGCTGCAGACACACGGGCAACAGGAGTCAAACTGGCTCAGTGGCTACCGGAACAAGCGCCCCGGACTACAGGAGTAACTGGCTCCGCGGCTAAGAAGAGCGGCAGACGAGCAACGGACCCACGGGCGACTGGCGCAGCTGGCTACGACTGGGCTACCGGAACAAGCGCCCCGGACTACAGGTGCTGCTGACGACAAGACGGCAGCCTCCGCTCAACCTCCCCCGACCGTCCCACGCCCCTCTCACACACCCCCTGCTGAAACCCTAGCTCCACATCCACGGCACCCCCCTTAAACCCTAAACCCTCGGCTCCCACACACCACCCCCCTCAGCGGCAGCTGTAGCAGAGGGAGACGAGGGAGGAGGAGGAGCAGGGGGAGGAACTCACAACCGACACCCCCATAGCCGCCACCCCCACACTCTTCACCCCCAAACCCTAATTCAGGAGAACGGGCTGTAGGAGGGGTGAGGCGCCGGTAGAAGCACGGGGGACAGTGGAGAGGGCAGGAGCAGCGAGGAACGGGCCGCCCACGGGCCTGGTAGAGCCGCCCGAACCGCGCGCAGGCGGCCCGAGCCGCGCGCGGGCCTGGCGCTTCCCGTACGGGCCGCGCGCGTGCCTGGCGCAGCCCGTACGGGCCGCGCGCGGGCCTGGCGCAGCCCGTACGGGCCGCGCGCGGGCCTGGCGCAGCCCGTACGGGCCGCGCGCAGGCCTGGCGCAGCCCGTACGGGCCGCGTGCCGGGTGTACGGGCCGCGCGCAGGCCACGACGGGCGACGGGGGGCGACGCGCGGGTCCCCGTCGCCCGTCGCAGCTCCTCCCGGGGGCGACGTGCCGAGTGACGGGGCAGGAACCCGCCGCGCGCCTCGGGGCACACGGCGGGCAGAGAACCGCCGCGCGCCTCGGGGCGCACGGCGGGCAGAAAACCGCCGCGTGCCTCGGGGCGCACGGCGGGCTGAAAACCCTAGTTTCGACGCCGCGCGCCACGGGGCGCGCGGCGGACAGGGAGTAGCTGTCAGAAATAACTGAGCAGGAATGAATGAACTAGAACAGAGTTTGGTACAAGTAGGAAACCCTAACTTTGTGTACCCCCTAAGGTGTAACCCACTACAGCCTAGACAATATAAACATGCAATGTTTGACACACCCCCATAGGCGCAGTGGGAAACAACCACAGGGTCACAAGACCAGTCAAAGCAAAGCAAAGCAAGCTCAGGGTGGACCTCAAGGATTCCACACAAATTCCGAGCACAAGCAAGCGGTCACAAGACCAGTTCACATGCAGGTTTATAACAAAGTAAGAGATACAGTGATCACAACCTAGCAAAAGTAAGCAAGAAGGCATATATATATAGTGATCACAGTACAAGTAAGGTCAAGAGGTAAGCAAGTGAGGCCCAGTAGGTACAAGGCCTAGCAGAGTGCAAAAGCGCTGATGGTCACAAGGCTGAAGCGCCTTGGTGAACACATCAGCAGTGTTGGCCTCCGTGGCCACGTAACGCAGACAAAGCTGACCACGCTGCTGCAGCTCTCGAGCAAGGAAGTACCGCAGAGCGATGTGCTTCGTTCTGTGCTCCAGTCTGTGCTCCTCACACAAGGCAATGGCAGCCTTGTTGTCGACGTACAGCACTGGAGGAGAACGAGGCCGCTCTCCGAGGTCGGTCAGCAGGTAGGTCAGCCAGCGTAGCTCCTGAGCAGCCATGGCTGTGGCGTAGATCTCAGCCTCACAACTGGAGCTGAGAACAGAAGAAGAGCGAGTAGAACGCCAAGAAACTGAGCCAGAGCCAAGGCTGAAGGTGTAACCCTGGGACGACCGCTGAGTAGCCTGGTCGTCTGCCCAAGAAGCGTCTGAGTGCCCTGTGAGAACAACTCGGTCTCGTCCTCCAAGCACAAGCCCCATGCCCGACGTACTGCACAAGTAGCGCAACACCCTCTTAGCAGCATCCATGTGCTCCTTCCGGTGACGGCCAGGAGCGACATAGCGTGCTAGGATGCTAAGAGGGTATGCAAGGTCAGGTCGAGTGCAGGTCATCAGGTACATGAGGCAGCCCACAAGCTCTGGATACGGGCCACTCGGCTCTACGGACTCATCCGAAGGCAGAGCTGAGAGCGAGTGACCGGTAGGCAGAGGAGTGGACTGAGGCGAGGAGTACGTGAAGCGGAAGCGCTGGAGGACCTGCTGCACCATGTGTGACTGAGTCAGGGTGATGGTGCGCCGTGCTCTGTCCCGGGTGATCCGCAAGCCAAGATAGCTCGTCAGCTCACCCAGGTCTGTGCACGTGTGTCTCCTCTGCAGCTCCGACTTCACGTGAGCGAGTGCCGCGGTGTCAGCAGTGGCAAAGACCAAGTCGTCGACGTACACGAGGATGTAGAACGGCGGCAGCGAGGTGTCGGTGCGTAGAAACAGCGACGGGTCAGCAGTAGAGGGAGCGAATCCAAGAGCCGCAAGTGTCGTCCTCAGTGTGTCGTGCCACTCACGTGGCGCCTGGCGGAGACCGTAGACCGGCCGCTGAAGCCTCCACTGGGTGCCAGGAGGAAATGACCCAGTGAAGCCAGGGGGGCGGCGCAGCCAGATCTCCTCGTGCAGGCTGCCCTGCAAGAAAGCAGTGCTGAAGTCAAGAGAGTGAAGCTCGTAGTCGCGGTGAGCGGCTATGTGCAGCAGCACCCGAAGAGTAGTCATCTTTGGGGTGGGGGAGAAGGTCTGAAAGAAGTCTACTCCCTCTCGCTGACTGAAGCCTCGAGCCACGTAGCGCGCCTTGAAGACAGGTGGAGAACCCGGAGGCCGCTTCACCCTGAAAATCCACACGCCACTGACGATGTTCGCCCCAGGAGGGGGAACCTCGTCTACGTAGGTGCCTGTGGACTTCCAGGAGGCCATCTCTGCGTCCATGGCTGTCTGCCACTGAGAGGAGTAGGGACCCGCCATCGCCTCAGCGTAAGAGCGTGGGGTCGGGATGTCTGGTGCATCCGGGTCTCCCTCAGGGGCAACTAGCAAGGACACGAGACGGGGCAAAGCAGCAGCAAGGCAGTGGAACTCCTCCTGTCTGTCCTCAAGGACGTCCGTGCCGAGGGCACACTCACCCCCGACGGACGGAGGACAGGCAGACGCAGACTCAGACCTAGCGACAAGGCTGGCAGCGTAGTCTAGGCGACAGCGAGCAGCAAAGTCAACCAACTCAGCGACCAGGGCAGACGCAGCAGAGGACTCAAAGGTCGGGTCAGTGACAACTGTAGCGAGGAGACGCGTAACAGTGGGACTGGCAGCACGACGGGAGTCAGACTCCGGGTCAGGAAGAGTAGGAAGAGAGGACGCAGGAGGAGACGGCAGCGGGACACGCTGCGGAGCAGTGGAGGGACGCAGAGTCATGTAGTGAGTGCCAGGGACAGGAGGAGGACGCTCACGTGGGACACGACGACCAGTGCGAGCAGTACGAACAGGCGACGCAGGACGAGACTCAGGCTCACGACGCTCTGTAAGACCTCCTGTGGGACCAGCGTAAGGGGAGGGAGCAGGGAGAGGCGAGACAGGCGGTAACTGTGACTGCGGCTGGACAGGCAGAGGACACTCGACGGAGGGAGGAGGACAAGGAGGAGGAGCCTGACCAAGAACCTGCTGAAGGAGCGGTACGAAGTACGGTCGCGGCCGCGCAGCGTCTCCAGAAGCAGCAGGGACACCAGTGGCAGCCCCAACGCCCGAGTCCTCAGCACCAGCAGCAGCTCCAACGCCCGAGTCCTCAGCACCAGCAGCAGCACCACCGGTCGGGTCCTCAGCACCAGCAGCAGCTCCAACGCCCGGGTCCTCAACACCAGCAGCAGGGCCACTGGTCACCCGAGTCCTCAGCACCAGCAGCAGCGCCACCGGTCGGGTCCTCAGCACCAGCAGCAGCTCCAACGCCCGGGTCCTCAGCACCAGCAGTAGCTCCAGCCCCCGGGTCCTCAGCACCAGCAGCAGCTCCAGCGTCCGGGTCCTCAGCACCAGCAACAGCACCACCGCTCGGGTCCGCAGTACCAGGAGCACCACTACGAAGACTGCAGCGCCGCGTGTACCACTCGCGGATCACCTGAATGGGGGGGAGCTCCTGGGTAGGAGGGGAAGTACCGGGACGAGCTCCAGAAGCACCTCTCCGGAGGCGGCAGTACTCGAGGTACCTCTCCTGCAGCTGCTGGGAGGAGGGGTCTCCTCCAGGCGCAGCACCCCCAGACTCAGCACCCCCAGACTCAGCACGTCCAGACTCAGCACCCCCAGGCTCCACACCTCCAGGCTCAGTACCTCCAGGCTCCGCACCTCCAGGCTCCGCACCTCCAGGCTCAGCACCCCCAGGCTCCGCACCTCCAGGCTCAGCACCCCCAGGCTCCGCACCCTCAAACGCAGCACTCCCAGGCTCAGCACCCCCAGACGCAGGACGCGAGTCAACAGCTACCTCGACAGGCTCACCCGGGTCTACCTGGGACACACCTGAGGGAGCGGCACCCTGAGGGGGGAGGGGGTCTGGTACCTCAGCACCTGGAGCGAGGAAGAGAGGTGGGGGGGGGAGCGGGGCAGTGCGGTAGGGGAAGAGGCGGTAGAAGGGGACGGACTCGTCAAAAGTGACGTCCTGAGAGGCCAGAACCCGGCGCGAGGTGACGTGGTAAAACTGCCATCCAGGCGCGTCGGGAACAAAGCCAAGAAAGACACAGGGAACAGTGCGACGCGAGAGCTTGTCCGCGGACGTGTCGCGGACAAAAGCTCGAGATCCCCAGACCCGGAAACGCGACACATCGCCAACCTCTCCCGTCCACCGTAGAGTCGGGGAAGTCTCCGGCAAGGAGACACGGGGCCAGAGGTTGAGCTGATGCGCTGCGTACCGGACCGCAAACGGCCACAGAAAGTGGGGAGCAGCCGCATGGGTCAGGGAGGTACGAGCGACCTCCATGACTAAGCCAATGCGGCGCTCAGCAACCCCATTCTGCTGTGGAGAGGCCGGAAGCGTGTACGACTGCTCAATGCCGTGCTCAGCACAGTAGGCTGCCAAGAGGTCGGAGGCGAACTCACCACCCCTGTCAGAGTGCAAGCGCAGGACAGGAAAGTCCGAGTGAAAGCGCTCGCCTAGCTGGAGACGGGCTCGGCTGATCCAGGGGATCAAAACACCAGGGACGTCACCCTTGGCGCGCAAGGGGAAGACCGTGGTGTAGCGCGAGTAGTCGTCAACAACTATCAGGAAGTACCTCTCCTGACCCTGACCACGGACGCGGGCCGGGCCCCACACGTCCATGTGGAGCGTCTGCAGGGGAGCGGTCGTCGGGGGAAAGGAGGAGGAGTGAGGAGCGGCGCGCTGCCGCCCCTCGACACAGGGAATGCAGTCAGGAGCAGGGGAGTCAGGAAGGGGAGGGAGCACCCTGGGAAGACCAGCAACAAGGTCCCGTTTGTGCATGGCCCGCAGGCGCTGCACAGACGGGTGACCAAGGCGGTGGTGCCAGAGGACGGTGTCGTTCGCCAGAGAGCGACACGAGCAGGGGGCGGACAGCTGACCTGACGCTGACGCAGACGCAGCTACCTGAGGGGACTCAGTGGTCAGTGTGTACAGGTCAGACCCCGGCTCTCGAGTGAAAGTAGCTAGGTGGCGGCCCGTCCGAGCACACGTGCAGTGAGTCACACGCTCGTAGGCAGGGGTGAACTGGTGAACACCCGAGTCCTGGAGCGCACTACCTGCCACCAAGTTCGTGGAGAACGAGGGGAGGTAGAGACCTGAGAGCGTGCCGGACGGAACCGCTGGACACGGAAGGGTGGTGGAGGAGGTCGCAAGGACCGGACCCCCAGAGGGGTCAGCAAGAGAGACAGCAACCGGCCGAGCTAGAGGCTCAAGGACAGTGCGGTCACGAAAGAAAGAGCGAGAAGCACCTGAGTCCAGTGTGAAGGTGTGCAGTGCTGCAGTCGACTCAGTACCAGGGGGCACAGACGCACAAGCACCTAGAGCAGCAGCGGGGCTGGCCTGAATGCCCGGGTCGGGCGGAACACGCAAGTACTGAGCACCCTCTCCACTAATAGACATCGCATACATGGCAGTGAGAATAGCATCAAAGTCAAGTGCCCAAATATCAACACCCTTCCTGAGCAGATCAGCCCAGCGCGGCAGCTCACCCCCACCAGGAAACTGAGTGCGCCACGCATCGTTGAGGCGGGCGAAGCAGCGCTCCGTCTGGTGCGGCCCCCCACACGTCTGGCCAGTGCGGTCACCTGTACGAATAACGTACTGACAGGTGACGCTGCGCCGCGCATACCACTCACGGGCGGCCTGAAGGGTCGGGGCAGGCTGCTGACTCTGACCGCCCCCCGGGCCTCCACGACCACCACCCCCTCCGCCTCCGCCCCGGCCACCTCCACCCCTGCCGCTGCCACGACCACCTCCGCCTCCGCTGCCACCTCCGCCCCTGTCACCACTCCCAACACCGCTGTCACCTCCACCACCGCCGCCACTAGCCTCTCCAGTCGCACCTCCACCGCCACCACCTCCACCCCCGCCTCCTCCGCCACCACCCCCACTCCTGCCACTCCTGCCCCTGCGTCGTCCGCCTGAAGCAGACGCAGCCCCGACCTTCTCAGCACCAAGGAGGTCGACAGCAGCAGCAGAGGCGACAGAGGGGAGGAGGGGGGAAGGGGAGCACCCCTCGAAGAAGGGGCCGCGGGGGTCGCCACGAGAGGTGCCTACAGCGACGATACTAGCCTCGGCTGCAAGCAGTTCCTTCTCGAGGAGGGCTATGGTGAGCTCAGTGGGGGAGCGAGAGAGGAACTGGTCCCTGACAGGGCGCAGAGAGTCAGGGAGGCGGGTGACAACGTGGTAGAGAGTGATCCAGAGCGGGGGGGGGGTTGCTAGCGAGGAACTCATCAGGCATGGCAGCGCGAAAGCGAGCCTCACTAGTCTTAAGGTGGGTGATGAGGTCTGCGACAGTGTGAAAAGAGGCTAGGTCGGGGAACAGGTAGGGGAGAGTGAGGCGGCCTAGTGTGGCAGAAGCGGGTGAGGAGTAGCGGGCCACTACAGCTGTGTAGAGGTCCTTAGCAGTCTTGCACTGGCCGAAGTGCTCGCGCTCATCTAGCGGCAGGGAGTTGCGAATAGCAAAGCGAGCGTGCGCGTCACGGGTCTGCCACTGTGAGCGCTCAGCTGGGGGGGCAGTAGCGAGTGGGGCGGTCGCATGGCCGAGAGCGTGGTCGTACAGTGTAATATCTTCCTTGGCAGTGAGCTGTAGGAAAAGGTGCAGGTCATCTAGCCAGGTTTCGAATTTGACCGGACGGCCCTCGGCGTCGAAAGCTAGAACAGGAGGACTAGCCATAGCGACAGCGGCAGTAGTAGAAGCAGTAAAGTCACTGAACAGGCGTGCGCAGGGTCAGCAGGGCCGGTGGGGCCTACGGACTGTAGTGGCGCACAAGCAGCAGTAGTAGGAAGTGTAGTAGTAGGATCTGCAGTGGTGCACAGGCGCAGCAGGCGGCAGCGAGAGCCGGCGCAGCAGGGGCGGGCTCAGCAGCGGTGATACGCGGGCGGCAGCGGGCGCAGCAGCGGCGGTGCGCGGGCGGCGGCGGGCTCAGCAGCGGCGGTGCGCGGGCGGCGGCGGGCTCAGCAGCGGCGGTGCGCGGGCGGCTGCGGGCTCAGCAGCGGCGGGCCGGGAGCAGTGCGGGCAGCGTGCGGGCCGGCGGCGGTCAGCGCACGAGCCGCGCAGGCTCAGCGCGGGCTGCGCGGGCTGCTCGCGGGCTGCGTAAGCGGGTCGCGGGCGGCTCGCGGGGGTTCGCGGGCAGGTCGCGGGCTGCTCGCGGGCAGTTCGCGGGCTGTGCGCGGGCTGCGCGGGCTGGTCGCGGGCTGCGCAGGCGGGTCGCGGGCTGTGCGCGGGCGGTTCGCGGGCTGTGAGCGCGGCGCGCTGTGCGGTTCGCGGGCGGCGTGACGGGGCCGATCGGGGCGCTAAGGGGCGACGCGACGGGGGCCGTGAGAGGCCGCTAAAAAAAAATTTCGACGGGGCCGCAGGGCCGCTAGATCGTGCTAGATCGACGGGGCCAGCGGGGCCGGAAACAAGCGAAGGTAAGCAGGTAGGTAAGTCGGTGGGCCCTAAGAACAGTCCTAGCGAAGGACCTGCTCTGAAACCATGTCAGAAATAACTGAGCAGGAATGAATGAACTAGAACAGAGTTTGGTACAAGTAGGAAACCCTAACTTTGTGTACCCCCTAAGGTGTAACCCACTACAGCCTAGACAATATAAACATGCAATGTTTGACAGTAGCAGTAGCAGTAGCAGTAGCAGCGGAAGGCTTAGGTGGTGGGCCCACCCACAGGATCGACCCAGGAGGGTCAACCTGCTCTGATACCATGTCAAGATAGGTAGTAGAAAGTTTAGAGGCAGAAAGAGGAGTTGCACTAGCAAGCAGTTGAGTACATATAGGAACCCTAGATTGGGCTGTACTCGCTATAGAGTACCCCACTGCAGGCTAGACAAATACAACATTCTGACACGTCTTCATGATGTCGGCCTTGAACGACTTCAAGAGCTCTTCCGGGAGGGCGGGCGGCGTGGGCTGAGGCGGTGGCGGCGGCTGCACGGGGAGCCTGGAGGTCACAGCGGTGGCGATGTTGACCTGCGCGGCGGATAGTTGCGTCGTGATGTACAGCTCCAAACCCCGCCTCGCAGCGCCCACCACCCCATCCACGTGCTCGGCCAAGGCGTCGACAGCTTCAGCGCGTGCACATGCCACACGACCCTCCGGATTGTCGAAGTCCTCCAACCACGCCGACGCCTGTTCCGCGAATGTCTTCATCGTCTTCCACGCTTCGTCGAAGCTGCCGGTGATGTTGCCCGTTCTGGTCTTCGACATGTCCGCCGTCGCGTTTCGCAGCTGCTGCGCCGCAAACTTGTCGGTGTCGTCTATCTGTTCGGCCAACTCCTTCAGGTGGTCGACGAGTCCACGTAACCCACCAAAAAACCCGTCCAGCCGAGCCTGCTCCTCATCGAGCAACGCCTTCAGCCGAGCGTTCTCCGCCCTCAACAGGAAGTTCTCCCGCAGCAGTTCCTCGACGTCGACCTGTTCAGGGCCCTGCCGACCAGATGCTTCCTCCGTCTCCTGCATGCCCGTGATGTTCGCACCTTCGCCGGCGTCGACCGACACCTTCGCACCTTCGCATGCCGCCTCCTCCTGGCCCTGTTCCGTCGTTGCCTCCGCGCCGACCTCATCCGTCTCCTTCCCCCCATCTTCTGCCGACCTCGTAGCATTACCCGCATCGCCATCCTCCGCTTCCTCATTCTTTTCATGCGCCGACCCCAACGCCACAACCGTACCGTCTTCGTACTGCAGCTCGTACTGCACCTCGGCCTCCACCCCCTCCTCGTCGTTCTCCGCCTCATCCTTCCCATTCCCTTCCTCAACCTCCACCACCTCATCGTTCTCGTCCTCGTCCTCCTCCTCCTCCTCCTCCTCCTCCTCCTCCTCCTCCTCCTCCTCCTCCTCCTCCTCCTCCTCCTCCTCCTCCTCCTCCTCTTCGTGATCCTCCTCGACCTTCTTCTCTTTCGCCGCCTCGTCCTCCTCCTCCCCCTCCGACTCCGACTCTGAGTCCGAATCCGACGACTCCGAATCTCGAACCTTCCTTCCTGCACCTGCCGAGGCGTCGCCTCCTCCTCCTCCTGCACCTGCCGCGGCGTCGCCTCCTCCGGACACCGGCAAGTCCAGCTGGTGCTGGGCGGCAGCTGCTGCTTGGGGCGCCGTCTGACTTTCCGCGCCGTCGTCATCAATCGCACTGTCGGCGGGTCCAACGGCTCCTGAAGTCGGCGCCGCAGATCGTTTTTCGGCGACGCGTTTGCAGATGTACTCGACCATGCTATCACGGAGCGACTTCAAACCCTTTGCCTTGATGTTCTCGATGCTCACCGCACTTCGAGCCTTGTCGCCCGTCAGCAGGTCGATCTGCTTGGCCACCCACCCGAACGACGTTGCAGCAAGCATGCCGGTGCCGACATGCCCGTCCGACACTGTGCCTGGCACTTTCTGCATACAACAACGGCAAGCGCGGAACAATATGAGCGGTGCATACAGATACGCGCAGAACGTTAAGAGCGGAGCTTTAACGCGCAACTCACGTCGCGGATAGGGTCGTCGCAGTCGGCAAGCCTGTCCTCGACCACTGCTTGTGATGGCGGCGCCCCGTCCCACTTCCTACCGGGACGCCCCAGCTCGGCCAGGACAGCCGTGCGGAATAGCTTGGAGCATCGTAGTAAAAAGAAAAAGGTCAGCATGTGATACCCTCTATCGGCGACTAACAAGCAAGAAAGCGACGACTATTCACAACTTACTTCAGCACGCGGACGGCCTCGTCGCGGTGCTTCAGTTTCCCGGTATGCGGGTCGATGTGCCGGATCGAGGTCCTGCAGACCTGTCCCTCAGCCTTCAGCAGATCTCCTGGGTAGAGGATGGCTATGACGCTGCAGTGTGACCCTGGAAGCGGGCCGCCGCTGCACATGCAAGACGGCGTCGACCACATCATTAGGCGATGATGCGACCGACTACACAAAACGACAACTGGACAACGGGGGACCAGCTCACGTCGATCGCAATGGGATAGCGGCGATGTCGGCGTCGAAAACCGTCGCAAAGCAAGAATGGTCGGCGGCCTTCATGGCCGATCGAAGCGGGCCGACTCCGATTACCCACAACCGCTGGTCGTCCCGCCCAATGCGAAACCAAGCGAACCTGAGCGCACGAGTGAGCATAGGGGATGATAACATGGCTGCTGAGCAAACGCTACCAGGTCGACGTCTACCGTACGTCAAAAGCGGACAGTACGTGGTCGACGCTTGCTTTGCCGACCGACGTCCCTGGACGGGTACCATGCCTATTGTCTCGTACTCGGACGTAAGTCTGATGACAAACAGCGACAATGCGACTTCCAACGGAGCTAGAGATAGTCGGCGCCGCCATCGACACTAATCAACCACCGCGACTACCCGAGTCCCACCTGATGCCGAGTCCCAAGCATCTCTCGTTGAACTCTATCCTATGGTCGCGAAGGACGGCGAAGTCGTTCCACTCGAAGGTGAAGCTGAGACCGCGACCCATTCGCTCACGAAGGGGAAAGTCAGCCGAAGTCGGCGCCGACTTATCGGCGTCGGGGCTCGGCTCCATATCTATCGACTAACAAAAGACGCGGACGGCTAAGGTAGGAGAGAGCGGAGGCGCAGAGCTGTCAAGGTCTGAAAATCGAAACGGGATGCGGAAAATGAGGAGCGAAGCCACCTTCGAGCAAGAAATGGAGGTGGTGCCCCACCCCAGGCCCGTTCAGCATCGCCCAAGGGTGTGGGGCCTGTCTCGGCAGGGCTCGGAGGGCGCATGCGCAAGTGGCACGGGTGGCCCGTCTCCGCCTTGGCAGGGCGTCGACTTCGCGTCCATTGGCCCAGGTCGGCGAGGGGACGCACACCTCGCATGCGCGCGGAGCGACGCTACGGCCGACACGTGTCGATTTCATAGCGGAACCCGATGCGAGAGGTTTTTGATTTCGCAGCGTGTGAAATTTCGCATGCGCCCGATGCGAAGCCACGGGCGTACACGTGGCGGCACCGCAACGGGTCGCGAAATTGTCGAGTGTCCCGAGGGGGCCCCGAATTTTCGCACGGCCCTCGCCTGCCCGTCCGGGCAGGCCGCGATGGGTTACTAGGACCTCGCGGGCAGGTGGCACGTGTGGGCTGCCTTCGCGCGAGGGTAACTTTCCCTCGCGCGAGGCGTCGCCAGTTCGCCGACCCCACCCGGTAACGTGGGTCCCTGTTCACGTTCGGAGCGGGGCTGCGGGGCGGCGGTCGTGCGCTCGGCCCAGCCCTGGGCCAGGCTGGCGGGCCCGCACGCGCGTCAGTCGCCCGCCTCGTCAGACCCGGCTCCGACGACCCCTCCTGTCGACACTGGCAAAACCGCTCCGACGACCGAATTGCGCTGAGGCTTTCGGTAGTCTTCCAAGTGCTGGGTTCGAGCCTTCGCCCAGCGATGGGCGAAGGCAAGAGGCTGAGAGGCAAAAATCGCCCAAGGATGTGTACACGGTTGACTAATGTCAATCCGCTCGCAAAAGAAATTCTCGCCGTCGATCGCTCCAGGAAAATGTCGTAATCGAAAAACACTTTCATCGCGGCCTCGCGCGACGATTTCGGCAAGTAACCAAAATCCCAAGAGTTCGCAAGCTTTCCGAGCTTGCTGGGGTGCCCCAGGGCACGCCCCGAGGCGCGCCAGCACGCGTCGGTGGGGCGTGCCGGGACGAGGCGACGCCCTGGTTTCCCGCATGCGTGGAAGCTTCAGAATCCGATGCACCGCGGTGCATCGAGGCGTGCCAAGGCGTTTCGCACCACGTCCTAATCGACAGCACGTCGTCCTACCTTGACATTGGTTGGACAAAAACCGAATTCAAGCGAAATTCTAAGACGTGTCGGCAGCGCTGGGCAAATTAGTAGTCACGGAATTCCTTTTTCCCTGAAGTAGCGAACCCGCAGGCGAGCTCTCTGGCGAAATTCCGTTACACAAATGGCGGCAGCCGCTTCAGCTTCACTTTCGTTGGCCTCGAGTGCCGGAATCGGCGCATCGGAAGATCTCAGAGCCCTAGCTTCCGCCAGCAATTTCTCCAGTACTAGCACATTCAGTACTAGCACGTCCTGCCTCGTATCGCTCGCTAGGCCAGACCCGTTCAATTCCTCCTGCCGCGTAGCGGTTCGACCAGCGGGAGTGCGATTAAGTCATCGTCAAGCGTTGCCGAACGGTCGGCTACGCAGAGCAGGTGTTGTTGTTCGAGCGGAGACCGATGCGACTGCGAGTGCGACCGCGGGCTCGCGGGCTTCTGAGCTGGTCGATAAACTGCTCTCCATGGTTAGCAATTGTTTTCTCCTGATTTAGCTGTTGATTTTCTGGTTTTGGGATTAGTCGCCTGAAATAGCGTGTTTAAGATGTTCGAGAAGGCAAGCTGTGCCTGCTTGAAATTTATATGTAAAAAAAAAAACTCCCTTTCTTAGCCACAGGTCGAGGACGCATTCAGGGGGGTAGTAGTGAGTGATGAGAGCAGGGAGGCAGGGCAAGACCAAGTAGGATAGGGTAGGGAATAGAGGGGAAGGGAAAGGGCAGGGCGGGGTAGGACAGTTGGACAAGAATGCATGCTGTACTGTTTTCTTGCCTGCATGGGAAGGTCTCGGACAGAGGGGCGGCTATGAGCGATGAGAGAAGTCCAGGGCGTGGCAGGCTTGGGCAGGTCAGAGTAAGGCGGAGTAGGACGAAAACAATTCATGCTCTACATTCTCCGCCCCTGCAGGTCAAAGACACGGACTGAGAGGCGACGATGAGCGACGAGGGCAGGGCGGCAGTGACGGGGAGGGGCAGGGCAGGGCAGGGCAGGTCGAACGCATCCTGTATTGGTTCCCTCCCCTGCAGGTGAAGGACAGGGACAGAGGGGCGGCGATGGCCGACGACAGCGGGGCGGCAATGACGAGGCAAAGCAGGGAGTTGAACGTATGCTGTGTGTTTCTCCCCTTCAGGTGAAGGAAACGGACAGAGGGGCGGCGATGGGCGACGGGCCGAGGTGCAATGGGGGGCGCGGCAGGGAGATAAGAACGTGTACTGTGTCTCTCCCGTGGCAGGTGAAGCACACGGACAGAGGGGCGGCGATGAGCGACGAGGGCCGGGCGGCAGTGACAGCGATCGTGGAACAGCTGGAGGCCATGGGGCTGGAAGAGCCGCTCAAGAGTCCTCTAGTGTTCGGAGGTAAGCAGGCTGGCATAAGGGATTGAGTGGTTCCGCAAATGGCTGTACGTGCAGCAATGGAACGGCCGTGACGGTTATGAGAGTGGAGCAGCTAGAGGCAATGGGGCTGGAGGAGCCGCTCGAGAGTCCGTTAGTGTTTGGAGGTAAGCATTTGGGTATTGCATGTTAGTGCCATGGGGCTGGAGGAGCCGCTCAAGAGCCCCCTGGTGTTGGGAGGTGAGCAAGAGATCAGACCGAAAATGTTAAAGACTTTATGCGAATCAATGAAAAGGACATAAACACTAAGCAGCCGGGGGGCGCTCAAAGGGCCCACTGGTGTTCGGAGGTACACAGACGCCGCTGGTGTTCAGACAAAAACAAAAAGGCAAGTGACGTGCTGATTGGGAACGAATGGATAAGGTCCATTCATTTGGGAATGACGTGCTTATCCTCTTGCTGCTGTCAAATGTACTTCAGGCGTGCCCTCTCTAACCTGTTTGTCGCTCCTCCTATGTGGAGCATATGCGTGCGTGACTTCATGCATGTGCATGTACATGTATGCGCATGCGTTTGCATGTATGTGCATGCCTGTATACACGTTCCTATGCGTGTGTGCATGTATGTGCATGTATGTGCATGTATGTGCATGAATGTGCATGTATGTGCATGCATATGCATGTATGTGCATGTATGTGCATGTATGTGCATGTATGTGCATGTATGTGCATGTATGTGCATGTATGTGCATGTATGTGCATGTATGTGCATGTATGTGCATGTATGTGCATGTATGTGCATGTATGTGCATGTATGTGCATGTATGTGCATGTATGTGCATGTATGTGCATGTATGTGCATGTATGTGCATGTATGTGCATGTATGTGCATGTATGTGCATGTATGTGCATGTATGTGCATGTATGTGCATGTATGTGCATGTATGTGCATGTATGGCGTGCATGCAGTCAATCTGTGAATCTGTGAACGTGTATCTGTATGCCCTCACATCAGCATGGGAGGTGGCATACACGTCGCGCCCCACAGCAGCAGGCGGGTACTATCGCAGCATGCTGGGGTGCACGCTGCTGTGATCCAACCACTTGCTGCTGCAGACCATCCCCCTAACCTGCCCACCGCCCCTTGTGACTTGTGTTGTACACCCCCACATCAGCATGGGAGGTGGCATACACGTCGCGCCCCACAGCAGCGGGGGGCTACTATCGCAGCATGCTGGGGCGCACGCTGCTGCGATCCAAGGACCTGGTGCAGACCATCTACCCGCCCAACGGGGTCCATAACCTCGTGGAGTTCGATGCGCTATCGTTGATTCCAGGCAGCATCAGCCTCAAAGGTGGGATGCAGTTGGTTGCGGTGTCAGGTAAAGTGTGTCTTATTAGCCACCTGCTGCTCGCTGCTGCGGGCCAAGGACTTGCTGCAGACCATCCACGCGCCCAATTTGGTGGATAACCTCGTGCAATCCGACGCCCTCACCTTGATTTCATTCTGCATCAGCCTCAAAAGTGGGTGGGATGCAGTTGGGCTGGGTGCGGTATCAGGTCAATGTCTCTCAGTAACCACCTGCTGCGATCCAAGAACTTGCTGCAGACCACCTGCCTCTGGGGTAAACAATGTAGTCGAGTTTGACTTGACGCCCTCTCCCTCATCCCTGGCAGCATCAGTAAAGGCGGGATGCGGACAGCAAGTGGGTGCGGGCGGTGTTTGAAGCCTTCAACTTCGTTCCTGACCGAAGACCCAAGTTCTCATGAGGGCAGTCATCTATGCGCCTATCCGTGTCATACCTCCATGAGCCTCCTCCAAGCCCCCCCCCCCTGCCCCAACTTCCCTTGACAAACTTCCCCCCTGCCCCACCATCCCCCTTCCCCGCCTTCCCGTTTCCCCACATTCATCTTCCCCATTCCTTCCTCCCACCAGGCACATTCGAGCCACTGGACAACAAGTGGGTGAGGGCGGTGTTTGAAGCACCCAACCTCGCTCTCGGCCCACTCAAGTTCTCGTACGGAGGGCAGTCGTCCGTGCGCCTGTCTGTCTCTTACCTCGATGAGCGTGTGCGCATTGGCCGAGGATCCCAAGGCTCCATCTTCGTGTTTGCTCGTCGCACTTAAACGAGTAATAAAAATACTGTAGCAGTGTGCTGCCTGATACTCGTACGGAGGGCAGTCGTCCGTGCTACACGGATGAGCGTGTGCGCATCGGCCGAGGTTCCCAAGGCTCCATCTTTGTGTTTGCGCGCCGCACATAAGTCCGACTCCTCACACTGACACTTTTGAGAATCGTCAAGTTTGACACGAGTGTACCTCGATGAGCGCGTGCGCATGGTCTGTGGGTCCCAAGGCTCCATCTTCGTGTTTGCCCGCCGCACATAACTCAGTTTCAGCCTCCATCTTGGACTTGTGTGTGTTGCATAGACATACCGTTCATGTGTCTTTCGAGGGATCGGAGTAACTCTCAGCCTTGATCTCATAGCAAGAGCAGGCTCCATCTTTGTGTTTGCACGTCGCACATAACTCAGGCGCAGACTCCGTCCGTTTTCTTAAATATGTGCGTGGCATATGACTGTTAGGATATCCCTGCATGTTCATGCTTATGGGCTTGTAGGAACTGCAGTTATAGCTGGAAAGGTGTGTTTTCCAAATTATGTGTTGCCCATTTGTGCGCAGTAGAAATGTGTCGAAATATTTGAAGCTCGGTCTCTGATTTATCAATGCACAACATTACAGCTGTCCATTGTCTTCCCTACTATGCATGTTCTTCAGTGCACAGTGAACCATTCGTGTCAACTATCTATGATACTTAAAATCAGCCCGCTTATCTCGAGCAATTTTATAAAGGGGATCAAATTAATTGTTCCAATCCATGTCTACATCTACTGCTCCACAGCTTGCTTCCTTCCTCGTTTCCGCACTACCCTTCCCTGCATATCATCATCATCACTAGAAAGCACCACCTCAGTGGTGCTTTTCCCCTTACCCCTGCCCTTCCTCTTTTGTTGAGACGCCGCAAACACATCATCTTCATCACTAGAAAGTGCCACCTCTAGGTGGCTCTTTCCCTTGCCCTTGCCCTTCCTCCTCCTTCTCCCTCCCCCTTCCTCCTCCCCTCCACTCGCCATATCAGCCCATTCCCTTGCACTATCCCCATCCACCACTCTCCCTCCTGCTACCTCTCCTCCACCCCCAATCTCATCCCCATCTGCTGTATCAACCCACTCTTCTGCCTCACCTGCACTTTCCTTCCCCCTTCGTTTCGACGCCGCCCTCCCTGCTCCCTTCATTGCATGACTCAATGAAAGAAGCTCTTGCTTCCCCTTCCCCTCGCCTCCTCCCTCCTTCCGCCCCCTTTTCGACGCGCTTCCTCCCTTCCTGCGCCCCTTTACCCCACCTCCCTTCTCGTCCACCCCTCCCCCTCCTTCCACCACCGCCCTTTCACCCACCACCTCTCCTTCCTCCACCCCTACATCCCCCCCACTCCCTCCTCCCTTCTCCTTCCATTTCGCAGCCCTCGCAGCTGCCTCCTCCTCTTCATACTTCTTCCTCCAATACTCCCACCTCTCCTCCATCTTATGATTCGCCTTCCTCCTCTCCTTCCTCTCCTTCCTCCCAGCCTTCTTCTCCTCCTCCTTCTTCTCCTTCTCCTTCCTCTCCACCTTCTTATACTCCAAAATCCACTGCCACGCCTCCACAGCCGCATTCCACTCGGCAACTTTCTTCGTGGAAGCTGGCTCGCCCACAAAATCGATCCCCGCCGCCGCCCCCCCAAGCCGCATAGTGCACTGATACACCTTCTCCTTTTTCGTCCCGATCTGCTCCGTGTAATACCGCGGTTTGCCCAGAAAATGGACCTTGCAGTTGTTGTGAACGTACGATTTGAAATCTTTTCCGACTTCCAGTTTCATGTCAACTGCTTTCGCCCGCACGGGTTTGGCTGGCTTGGGTGGGGCGAGCTTTGGTTGCAGGCCGATAGTGAAGATGCCTTGTGTCTGCTCGCACTGCAGCAGGTCAGAGACAGCTCCAAGAATCGCCTGGTCCTCAGGTGTCAAGGGGAGGCGAGGGTTCTCCAGCTGCGTTGGGGTGGTAAAAGGGAGGAGAAGAAAAGAAAAAATCACAAACGTGTGACTGGTCGCAATGTGGGAGGCCGGAGAGCTTTAAGAATAACCTCGTCTTTTGGTGTTAAGGGGAGGCTGGGGTTCTCCAGCTGCGATGAAACATTTGAGCAAGAAGAAGAGGAGATACACAAGGTTTGGCACGAGCTTACAGTGTTTGCCTTTTGAGGCGCCTCAAAAAGCGTTTTTTTTCACTTCACCTTGCGTTGGATCAGTGAGTCGAGTACAGGGTGTACACCAAGCATGGATCGGGCGGCAGCGGGCGGCATGAAGAACTCAAAATAGCCGTCCAGCATGTGCAGTGCAGATACCCGAAGTGAGTGGGTCGGTGTGTTGTTGAGGAGCCAAAGAAATCCACCTTGGCGCCTCACTCACAATCAACCCACTTAACCACATCCTGACATTCATTTGAACCAATCCTTCACTGTCACCCATAAGCACCCCTCATGACCACCCGAAACCACCCCTCACCTTGCGTTGGATGAGCGAGTCAAGTTCAGACCGCAGTGCGAGCACAGAGCGGGCGGCAGCGGGCGGCATGAAGAACTCAAAGTAGCCATCCAGCATGTGCAGATACCCGGGGTCGGTGGTGGGGGTGAGCGGGCCTCCGAACAGCAGCAGTGCCGCATCAGACACACCGGTGGAATCGCGGATAAACACGGAAGTTGTCTTGATCTGATTGTGTTTGGGCATATGGGATGGGAGCAGACTGGATTTCAGCGCACATTCAAGAGCTAAGGTGAGAGCACTGCTCGTGGGGATGAGCGGCCTTTCAAACAGAAGCAGAGCCACACACTGGTAGCCTTGTGGATGAAGACAGAAGCTGCTCTAATCTGGTCATGTGTGGGGACAAGGGAAGGATCATGAGTCACCATGTGTGAGGTCAACAAATCGGGTGGGGTGGGTGCAACGACCCTACAAAGAGCAGCAGCTTTAGGATACGCCGATAGAATCGCGGATGAGTTTTATGGAAATCACTTTTAAGAATTCTCAGAAATGGTTTCCAAAGAGCACCAGCTTTAAATAGGATGCGCCAATAGAATTGCAGATGAAGATAGAAGCGTTTTGATTTTAATTGTGTGGGTGGAAGTATGGGAGATTGTGTAGTACCTTCTGGCTGAAGACCAGCGAGGGGTATGGGAAGCGCGTGAGACAAGCGAGCAGCTCTGGCTGTGACAGGGACATAAGGTCACATCATGCCATTCCACGCCACACGTCTCATACATACCACACACCGCCCCATGCCACGGCATGGCACAGTACCTTTTCGTTGAATACCAGCCAGGGGTAAGGGAACCGAGTGAGACCAGCGTTTACAGAGGACTGCAAGGAACGGGGGATGAGGGATGTGGGGGATGGGGGATGGGGGATGGGGAATGGGGAATGGGGGATGGGGGATGGGGGATTGGGGGATGGCTAAGAGGAACAGGGAAGACATAAGGACACAATGTTCTCGCCGCACGCACGACAAACATAAACACACGGTGCGTGTTCTTTCTACCGTTGTGTTTATGTTTTTTTCTAAACATAGCACCTGGTGCATCTTGACCTCCCCGCCCTCCGCTGCCTTGTACGTTGTGCCGCTCAACTGCTTCCATGCACACCCCTCTCCTCTCTCCACTCCCCCTCCCTTCGTTTCCATGCACACTTGGGAGATGATGCATCTTCTTCTAACTATCTCACTTCACGCACATGCACTTTTAAGGCGCCTCAAAAGTCATGCACCTGCTGTATGTGGACCTCTCAGCCCTCATCCGCCTTAGACGTTGTGCCCCTCAGCTGCTTCTGCACACAGTCCTCACACACTCTCCCATTTGTCCCTTCATACATAAGAATGAGGAACCTCACACACACATGTCCCATCTTACTACATACGTACACACCTGGTGAATATTGACCTCCTCCTCCCCATCCCTCTCCGCCTTGTACATTGTGCTGCGTGTCCGTTACCCCACAGAACCCTCACTCACCCCTCCTCATGCACAGGAATACGGCATATCTCACACATCTCGCCAATCAATCCACGAAAATGCACACCTGGTGAATGTTCACCTCCCCGTCCTCTTCCGTCTTGTATGTTGTGCTGCGAGTCCGTTTCTGCACATGATCAGCAGACGGAGAGGTGAAGGGAGGTGAAGGTTCATGGGGAAGATGGTGGCAGATGAAGGAATCAACGGATGTTTACGGTTACAGCAGAGAATACAGTCAACTGAGCCAAACTGAGCCAACTGAGACAATGGAGATGCAGGGCAGGAGGGTAGAGATTACAGTAGAAAATATGAGAGATGCGATAAACTCAACGAATAACTACAAACAGCAATGATATCCATCCATGCGATGTGATCCTGCTATTGCGTATCCATGCATGCATGCAAACAGATGAACATTTCTCACACACATCCACACACAGGCACGCTCCCTCCCTCGCTCTCACCTCAGCAGACGCCACGCCACCCCAGGAAACAGCCCAGCCAGCAGTGCAGGCCAAAAAAACCCGGTTCCTTGCTCCTGCTGCTGGCCTCACACATGCCACACAATCTAAGCCCACACGCACACTCTCCCTCTCACCACCAGCAGATGCCACCCCGGGAAAATAACCCGGCCAGCAGTGCAGGTTGAACGAACTCGGGTTCGTTGCTCCTGTTGCTGGCCTCGGCCATGCTCTTAATCCCACATAAACAATCACACAGGCGCACAGACCTGAACCCACATAGACTCAAGGTTAAAAAATACGGTTTTCGTAAAATACGGTCCGTTTTTTACGGTGAAAAAAAAAAAAAAAACCGGCCGTTTTTTTGTTAGAGAACTCTGGTTACCAAGAAAAACAAAAGGGAAAAACAAGGTCAAACACATTTTCAATCATGCCAACAAGCGCACACATGCAAGACGGAGCCCGCCCCCTTCATCCTGCTGAAATTCGGGGTGGCCGATTTGTTAACTAAACGGTCATTTTTTAAACCCTGCATACACTCCCTCCCCCTCACCACTGCCGATGCAACAGCGGGGAACAACCCAGCCAGCAGCGCAGCTCGAACAAACTCGGGGTCGTTGCTCCTGCTGTTGGCCTCATCCATGCCCCGCTGCACATCCACCAATCCCAGCTCGCCAAGTGTCCCCAGCAGCTGCCTCCTCAGCCCTGCGATTGCCTGGCGGATAGGCAGGGTGTGGGACAAGGTAGAGACGGAAAGGAGTGGACTAGGTGAACAACTGAAGAGAGTTGGCATTGGCAGGGCACAGGAACAGATGGAACGGATTAGGTTGGCCAACAACTGGAGTGTGGAATTTTCTGGAGGAAAAAGTGAGACTGATAGAGGAAAGTATGGGGACAAGGCAGCATTGGTGAAGTGACAAGAACGGCAGCATTATATACGCACAGTACAGCATGCCAGGGAGAAATCACTTTTGAGAATTCTCAAAAGGGTGTCTTTTAATTAGACTCAAAACAGAGTGCTAAGGGCCAGAGTGTGACAACCTTATGTGCCGCGAAAGCCTGTCAGCTCAGGAACGAGAATAAGAGGGAAAAATAAAAAGGAAGAAAAAAAGAGAAAGGAAGAACAGAACAGAAAGAACCAGCACGTATGGCACCAGCTACATGCCTGCATGGTGGGGTGCAATAAGAAGTGGTCGTAGCAGTATGCCCTAGCAGCACTGTACCCGTCGCTGCGGCTGGTCGCTGACCCAAGAGCCGCCACCCACCCCTCGAACGCCCTCACTGCCGCGAAATGGTCGCTGCAATCGTCCCCTGCAAAGCGCAAACGAACCGAGTCTGCCACCTGGCACAACGATAAGAGAAGAAGTTGGGTACAGAAAGGAACAATGTGAGAGTGGGGACAGAGAGGGGCAAGGAAAGGGAAGCATTGAGCGGGAATGGCTGGTTGCTGATCTTAGAGCTGCCACCCACCCCTCAAACACTCAACTCAACTAATCGTAATCACTGTTCCCGCTCTCTAAGGGTAGTTGCTATGGTGAGCACAGGGTACACACACGACAGCACCACCGCTGCCGATTTTTGAGGCGCCTCAAAAAGGGTAGTTGCTATGGTGAGCACAGGATGCACAGCACACACGACAGCACCGCCGCTGCCGCAACCCCTTCATCTCCCCTTCATCTCCCCTTCATCTCCCCTTCATCTCCCCTTCATCTCCCCTTCATCTCCCCTTCAACTCCCCTTCAACTCCCCTTCAACTCCCCTTCAACTCCCCTTCAACTCCCCTTCAACTCCCCTTCAAATCCCCTTCAACTCCCCTTGTCCCCAAACCCCCGTCCTCTGATTTCTTCTCACCTCTCTCTTGTCTGCTGGTCGACCCACGGCTCCCACTCGCTAAGAGTGGCCCCCACAGTGAGCAGAAGGTTCACACACGACAGCACCGCTGCCATCACACCTCTTCATCTGCCTGCCTCATTCTCACCTCTCGCTTATCTGCCGGTCGCACCCACGGTTCTCTCTCGCTAAGGGTAGCAGCTACAGTGAGCACAGGGTTCACACACGACAGCACTGCCGACATCACCAGCATCTTCCCCACGCGTGGCTCCAGAGGCAGTGCTGTGAGGTGGCGACCTGTGAAGGGGAAGATGAGGGTGGGGTTTAGAGGGAAAGGAGATGTGAGAGGAGAGAGTTGACACACGATAGCACCACTGCCATCACCAGCATCTTCCCCATATGTGGTTCCAGAGGCAGTGCTGTGAGGTGGCGACCTGAGAAGGAGGTGGGGATGGAGAGGAAAAGCAGGGTGGTTAGGGAATGAAGGGAGAGGTAGTGAGAAGAAATTTCGAGGTGACTTTTGAGTCGACTCAAAAGTCTCCTAGTCGACTCAAAAGTCACCTAGTCGACTCAAAAGTCACCTAGTCGACTCAAAAGTCACCTAGTCGACTCAAAAGTCACCTAGTCGACTCAAAAGTCATCTTTTAAGTCGACTCAAAAGCAGGGTGGTTAGGGAATGAAGGGAGAGGTAGTGAGAAAAAAAATTCACACACGACAGCAGCATTGCCATCACGAGCATCTCCCCCCCCACCCATGGCTCCAGAGACAGTGCTGTGAGATGGTCGCCTGGGAGAGGGGTGGGGATGGAGAGATGGGGATGGAGAGATGGGGATGGAGAGATGGGGCGGCATTTCGATAGAGAAGGAAGAAGGGGTGGAGTGAGCATGGACATGCACAGATCTACGGTATGAGAACCCAGGGGGTTATGGGGGAGAAGCAAGCAGCACTGCCTTCGCTATCATAGCTCGCATGAGAATTCAGGGGGGGAATGAGGAATGTGGATTTGTGTGTGACTGCGACACATATCAAACGGTGTGCATCAGTCCAGCACATGTGTTGTGCTGTGCAGGGTATATGGACATACGACGCGCACTAAGTTGCGGTGAGGTATGTGGATACCAAGTCATGAAGCTGTGTGGGATATGCCATGCCATGCCATGCCATGCCATGCCATACCATGCCATGCCATGCCATGCCATGCCATGCCATGCCATACCATGCCATGCCATGCATGCGTACCAAGTGGTGTGAGGTTCTCATCCTTGTCCAGCGCCCCCACGTCCTCCAATAGCTCTATGGCATTGTCCACCTGCATGCATGCATGCATGCACGATGCATGAGAGGATATGCACACCACACGAAATAAAGCATGATAACACAGGTGCAGAGATGAGGGTGAGGTTCTCATACTTGCGCAACGCCACCGCATCCCCTCTATGGCATGTCCGCCTCATCTCTTGGCATTGTCCACCTGTATGCATAGATACAAAGGTACAGAAAGGTACAAAAGCACACATGCATGACGCAAATGCACATGCGCACAAAAACTAATGACGCACAAACTAGATAGTAACCTTTTTTTGGGTCGACTAATCTCTTTACCCCACTATCCAATGAGCCCCTTACTCACAGCTGGAGAAAATCTGGCGGGCACTTCAGCTAGAGAATCGCCTTCTCCAGGAACTAACCGAAGAGCCCCAGCCCGAGTGTCTTGATCTGCCAGTTGAAAGCCCACCTGAACAATCTAATTCAAAGTCACCGCTAGGGGCTCAGGCGGCTGTATGGCTATCCCAAGAAACTCCCCACCAATGTTGCCCAGCCCGAGTGTCTTGATCTGCAGGCACATTCTAACTAGCCCCAACTCCATTTAACGAGCCCCAACTCACAGCTAGAGGCTCTGGGGGTTGGATCGCCTTCCCCAGGAACTCCCCAATATTGCCCAGCCCGAGAGTCTTGATCTGCAGGCACAGCGAGTGCAGCGGCGCCCGCAGCAGCTCCGGCTGACCATAATCCGGCAGAGCAGCAAACAGCGGGCGCGGGTACAGATGAAAGCACACCCCCGGCCGCACCCTCCCCGCGCGCCCCCGCCGCTGCTTCACAGAGGCCTTGGAGACCCACTGGGGGAGCAGGCACGGCACGTTGTTGACGGCGTCGTAGGAAGTTTCCTTGGCCTTTCCTGTGTCGATGACCAGAGCGACGTCGTTGATGGTGATGGAGGTCTCAGCCATGTTCGTTGCTAGAATGACCTTGGTGATGCCGGGGGGTGGAGGGTTGAAGATTAGCTTCTGCTTGGGAAGACGGGTAGAAGGAACAGGAGAAATGAGAGGAATAGGAGAGGTTAAAGAGCGGTTCCAGTGACCGGGGCAACGTCGTTGATGGTGATGGAGGTCTCAGCCATGTTGGTGGCCAGGATGACCTTGGTGATTCCCCCTGGAGGGGCATTAAAGATTAGCTTCCGTAGGGGGGAAAATGGGGCAAAGCAGGGAAGAGGGAAGTGGAGGTGTGAACATGTCGTTGATGGTGATGGGGGTTTCGGCCATGTTGGTGGCCAGGATGACCTTGGTGATTCCGGGGGGTGGCGGGTTGAATATGAGCTTCTGCTTGGGGGAAAGGGAGAATGGAACGGAGGGAGGAGTGCGTTAGGATGACTAGAGCGACGTTGTTGATGGTGATGGAGGTCTCAGCCATGTTGGTGGCGAGGCCAGGATCACCTTGGCTGCTAGGGAAGAAGAGTGGGAAAGATTTGAAAGATGGGGAAGGGGAGGAAATAGACAAAGGGGAGAATTGAATGGTCTTCTTCAACTGTCATGATTTTGAGACGCCTCAAAGGTGTCTCTCTGCCCGCAATGCTGCCATGGTAGGCAAGCAGGTTATGTAGCTCACACAAATTACAGCACACGCTATCCAGCACACCCTATCCAGCACACCCTATCCAGCACACCCTATCCAACTCGTTGGTAGGTATCCTGTCGATGGGCGTCTCTGTGTAGTAAACTGACTGATTAGACCTGCAATGCTTTTTCCATATCTCACACCTCTTAATCATACTTATACATGTATCATGACATCCCTATCCCTGCCAGCTCGTATCTGATCCCGCTTCATACCAGCTCCTACCCCACCCCACCCACCTTCATACCAGACATGCTGCCGTGGCATGTGAGCAGCAGCAAACGGCTTTCATCGCCCCTCTTCCCCATCCGGACATCACCAACTCGTCGCACTCCTCACCCCATCCCATCGCACACGCACCTGTAGTTGGCATGCTGCCATGGCATGTCAGCAGCAGCACACGGCTCTCATCCCCCAGCTTTAGGCGCTCCCTCATCCCAATCAAGTAATGATCAGCTCGTCACACCCCTCACTCCATCTCACACGCACCTGCTCTTCTATCAGAATGCTGCCATGCTCCCTCAGCCTCTCGCGCATGCCAATGATCCCATACACTTCAGCACCTCAGCCGCCCTCCCCATCTCACACGCACCTGCTCTTCTATCAGCATGCTGCCATGACACGTGAGCAGCATCACCCTACTCTCGTCCCCCAGCAGCGGGTGCTCCCTCAGCCGGTCGCGCATGCCTATAATATCATCCCACCCCGTCATAAACACCAACACCGCCCCCGCATCCCTGCTCCCCACACTCCCTGCTGCGTCTGGCTTCCCTGCCCTCATCTCCTCCGCCCTCTCCGCCATCCCCCCTCTCTCCCCATCTTTCTCCCTCCTCCCCTCCAACCTCCCCTCTCTTCTCCCATCTCTCCCCCACTCTCTCCCCCCATCTCGCCCCCCCTCCTTCTGCATCTGCGCCAGCAGCCGGGGGCCGCGCCGCACGGCGAACTCAAGTGCGGATTCGATGAGGGAGAACCCCACGCCCTCGCCAGTCCATCGATCCATGGATCGTTGCACAAAGGGCGAGTGGGACGCAAAAGAGTGGCCTGAGAGAGCTTCCTGTGGGGCCATGCGGGGGGAACGCAGGTGGGGAAAGACACGGGTAGAAAGGGAGGAATGCCAGGGAAATGAATGAAGGGAAATCCCACCCACGCCCTCGCCAGTCCATCGTTCCATGGAGCGCTGCAGAAAGGGCGAGTGCGACGCGAAGGAGTGGTTGGAAAAAGCCTCCTGTGTGGTCGTGACGTGGGGGTGCAATCAGGGTGGGGAAAGGCACAGGCGGACTGGAAGGAAGGCAAGGAATCCAGCCCAACCACGCACTCCCCGCTCCACCGCTCCATGGAGCGTTGCACAAAGGGCGAGTGTGACGCGAAGGCGTTGTGGGCGAGAGCTTCCTTTGTGGCCGTGGGGGGAATGGATGGAAAGAGAGACAGGTAGATATATGAATGAAGGTCGTGAGTTTGAGTGGGGGGGTGGGAAGAGGGGGAGGAATAGATCATAGACTGATAGTAGTCCAACGAGAGGAATGCCAGAGGAACGCCCCACGCCCTTGCAGAACAGAGGAATGGCAGCGTGGTGAAGAAGTTAAGGAGCTCATTCAAGAGCAACGTACAACAAACAAGTCTTGCTCTCGAGTACCACAAACAAGTCTTGCTCTCGAGTACCACAAACAAGTCTTGCTCTCGAGTACCACAAACAAGTCTTGCTCTCGAGTACCACAAACAAGTCTTGCTCTCGAGTACCACAAACAAGTCTTGCTCTCGAGTACCACAAACAAGTCTTGCTCTCGAGTACCACAAACAAGTCTTGCTCTCGAGCACCACAAACAAGTCTTGCTCTCGAGCACCACAAACAAGTCTTGCTCTCGAGTACCACAAACAAGTCTTGCTCTCGAGTACCACAAACAAGTCTTGCTCTCGAGTACCACAAACAAGTCTTGCTCTCGAGTACCACAAACAAGTCTTGCTCTCGAGTACCACAAACAAGTCTTGCTCTCGAGTACCACAAACAAGTCTTGCTCTCGAGCACCACAAACAAGTCTTGCTCTCGAGCACCACAAACAAGTCTTGCTCTCGAGCACCACAAACAAGTCTTGCTCTCGAGTACAGGAACAAGTCTTGCTCTCGAGTACCACAAACAAGTCTTGCTCTCGAGTACCACAAACAAGTCTTGCTCTCGAGTACCACAAACAAGTCTTGCTCTCGAGTACCACAAACAAGTCTTGCTCTCGAGTACCACAAACAAGTCTTGCTCTCGAGTACCACAAACAAGTCTTGCTCTCGAGTACCACAAACAAGTCTTGCTCTCGAGTACCACAAACAAGTCTTGCTCTCGAGCACCACAAACAAGTCTTGCTCTCGAGCACCACAAACAAGTCTTGCTCTCGAGTACCAGAAACAAGTCTTGCTCTCGAGTACCACAAACAAGTCTTGCTCTCGAGCACCACAAACAAGTCTTGCTCTCGAGTACCAGGAACAAGTCTTGCTCTCGAGTACCACAAACAAGTCTTGCTCTCGAGTACCACAAACAAGTCTTGCTCTCGAGTACCACAAACAAGTCTTGCTCTCGAGTACCACAAACAAGTCTTGCTCTCGAGTACCACAAACAAGTCTTGCTCTCGAGTACCAGAAACAAGTCTTGCTCTCGAGTACCACAAACAAGTCTTGCTCTCGAGTACCACAAACAAGTCTTGCTCTCGAGTACCACAAACAAGTCTTGCTCTCGAGTACCACAAACAAGTCTTGCTCTCGAGTACCACAAACAAGTCTTGCTCTCGAGTACCACAAACAAGTCTTGCTCTCGAGTACCACAAACAAGTCTTGCTCTCGAGTACCACAAACAAGTCTTGCTCTCGAGTACCACAAACAAGTCTTGCTCTCGAGTACCACAAACAAGTCTTGCTCTCGAGTACCACAAACAAGTCTTGCTCTCGAGTACCACAAACAAGTCTTGCTCTCGAGTACCACAAACAAGTCTTGCTCTCGAGCACCACAAACAAGTCTTGCTCTCGAGCACCACAAACAAGTCTTGCTCTCGAGTACCACAAACAAGTCTTGCTCTCGAGTACCACAAACAAGTCTTGCTCTCGAGTACCACAAACAAGTCTTGCTCTCGAGTACCACAAACAAGTCTTGCTCTCGAGCACCACAAACAAGTCTTGCTCTCGAGCACCACAAACAAGTCTTGCTCTCGAGTACCACAAACAAGTCTTGCTCTCGAGTACCACAAACAAGTCTTGCTCTCGAGTACCACAAACAAGTCTTGCTCTCGAGTACCACAAACAAGTCTTGCTCTCGAGCACCACAAACAAGTCTTGCTCTCGAGTACCACAAACAAGTCTTGCTCTCGAGTACCACAAACAAGTCTTGCTCTCGAGTACCACAAACAAGTCTTGCTCTCGAGTACCACAAACAAGTCTTGCTCTCGAGTACCACAAACAAGTCTTGCTCTCGAGCACCACAAACAAGTCTTGCTCTCGAGCACCACAAACAAGTCTTGCTCTCGAGCACCACAAACAAGTCTTGCTCTCGAGTACCACAAACAAGTCTTGCTCTCGAGTACCACAAACAAGTCTTGCTCTCGAGTACCACAAACAAGTCTTGCTCTCGTCTCGAGTACCACAAACGTGTCTTGCTCTCGAGTACCACAAACGTGTCTTGCTCTCGAGTACCACAAACAAGTCTTGCTCTCGAGTACCACAAACAAGTCTTGCTCTCGAGTACCACAAACAAGTCTTGCTCTCGAGTACCACAAACAAGTCTTGCTCTCGAGTACCACAAACAAGTCTTGCTCTCGAGTACCACAAACAAGTCTTGCTCTCGAGTACCACAAACAAGTCTTGCTCTCGAGTACCACAAACAAGTCTTGCTCTCGAGTACCAGAAACAAGTCTTGCTCTCGAGTACCACAAACAAGTCTTGCTCTCGAGTACCACAAACAAGTCTTGCTCTCGAGTACCACAAACAAGTCTTGCTCTCGAGTACCAGAAACAAGTCTTGCTCTCGAGTACCACAAACAAGTCTTGCTCTCGAGTACCACAAACAAGTCTTGCTCTCGAGCACCACAAACAAGTCTTGCTCTCGAGTACCACAAACAAGTCTTGCTCTCGAGTACCACAAACAAGTCTTGCTCTCGAGCACCACAAACAAGTCTTGCTCTCGAGTACCACAAACAAGTCTTGCTCTCGAGTACCACAAACAAGTCTTGCTCTCGAGTACCACAAACAAGTCTTGCTCTCGAGTACCACAAACAAGTCTTGCTCTCGAGCACCACAAACAAGTCTTGCTCTCGAGTACCAGAAACAAGTCTTGCTCTCGAGTACCACAAACAAGTCTTGCTCTCGAGCACCACAAACAAGTCTTGCTCTCGAGTACCACAAACAAGTCTTGCTCTCGAGTACCACAAACAAGTCTTGCTCTCGAGTACCACAAACAAGTCTTGCTCTCGAGCACCACAAACAAGTCTTGCTCTCGAGTACCACAAACAAGTCTTGCTCTCGAGTACCACAAACAAGTCTTGCTCTCGAGTACCACAAACAAGTCTTGCTCTCGAGCACCACAAACAAGTCTTGCTCTCGAGCACCACAAACAAGTCTTGCTCTCGAGCACCACAAACAAGTCTTGCTCTCGAGCACCACAAACAAGTCTTGCTCTCGAGTACCAGAAACAAGTCTTGCTCTCGAGTACCACAAACAAGTCTTGCTCTCGAGTACCACAAACAAGTCTTGCTCTCGAGCACCACAAACAAGTCTTGCTCTCGAGCACCACAAACAAGTCTTGCTCTCGAGTACCACAAACAAGTCTTGCTCTCGAGTACCACAAACAAGTCTTGCTCTCGAGTACCACAAACAAGTCTTGCTCTCGAGTACCACAAACAAGTCTTGCTCTCGAGTACCACAAACAAGTCTTGCTCTCGAGTACCACAAACAAGTCTTGCTCTCGAGCACCACAAACAAGTCTTGCTCTCGAGCACCACAAACAAGTCTTGCTCTCGAGCACCACAAACAAGTCTTGCTCTCGAGTACCAGAAACAAGTCTTGCTCTCGAGTACCACAAACAAGTCTTGCTCTCGAGCACCACAAACAAGTCTTGCTCTCGAGCACCACAAACAAGTCTTGCTCTCGAGTACCACAAACAAGTCTTGCTCTCGAGTACCACAAACAAGTCTTGCTCTCGAGTACCACAAACAAGTCTTGCTCTCGAGTACCACAAACAAGTCTTGCTCTCGAGTACCACAAACAAGTCTTGCTCTCGAGTACCACAAACAAGTCTTGCTCTCGAGTACCACAAACAAGTCTTGCTCTCGAGTACCACAAACAAGTCTTGCTCTCGAGTACCACAAACAAGTCTTGCTCTCGAGTACCACAAACAAGTCTTGCTCTCGAGCACCACAAACAAGTCTTGCTCTCGAGCACCACAAACAAGTCTTGCTCTCGAGCACCAGAAACAAGTCTTGCTCTCGAGTACCAGAAACAAGTCTTGCTCTCGAGTACCACAAACAAGTCTTGCTCTCGAGTACCACAAACAAGTCTTGCTCTCGAGTACCACAAACAAGTCTTGCTCTCGAGCACCACAAACAAGTCTTGCTCTCGAGTACCACAAACAAGTCTTGCTCTCGAGTACCACAAACAAGTCTTGCTCTCGAGTACCACAAACAAGTCTTGCTCTCGAGTACCACAAACAAGTCTTGCTCTCGAGTACCACAAACAAGTCTTGCTCTCGAGTACCACAAACAAGTCTTGCTCTCGAGTACCACAAACAAGTCTTGCTCTCGAGCACCACAAACAAGTCTTGCTCTCGAGCACCACAAACAAGTCTTGCTCTCGAGTACCAGAAACAAGTCTTGCTCTCGAGTACCACAAACAAGTCTTGCTCTCGAGTACCACAAACAAGTCTTGCTCTCGAGTACCACAAACAAGTCTTGCTCTCGAGCACCACAAACAAGTCTTGCTCTCGAGTACCACAAACAAGTCTTGCTCTCGAGTACCACAAACAAGTCTTGCTCTCGAGTACCACAAACAAGTCTTGCTCTCGAGTACCACAAACAAGTCTTGCTCTCGAGCACCACAAACAAGTCTTGCTCTCGAGCACCACAAACAAGTCTTGCTCTCGAGTACCACAAACAAGTCTTGCTCTCGAGTACCACAAACAAGTCTTGCTCTCGAGTACCACAAACAAG